AATTAATGCTCATAATTTAGTGTTTTTAAATTTACCACAACATAATACCAATCATAAGAAAAAATTATCAATTCCTAGATATATCAAAACCTCAAATATGGAAAGCAAACGAGAAATTTTACATGCAAACATTATGGGCAACATATGCAACTATTTCTTGCCATTTACTTTGCTATTAGCCAACACAGTAAAGAAGGAAAAAAAAAACAATAATTAAAAAAAATCACAGGAGAATAATCTCACAAGTAACAACACAAAAAAGCATTTTGGCAAGAAAAAAAAAACACAAACAAACAAGCACAAAATATATAGATCTTTTTCCACCGAAATTTCAAGTTAAAAATCACTTCCTCCAAGTTCTTAATCTGATATTTTATCCATCTATATTTTCAATTATGATTTTGCTTTTTCATTCTTCATTTGGAATTTTAAAGTAACTTTATAAAAAGTAAAGTAGAGAGGAGAAAAATGCAAGACCCTTCACCCCAAAATCCAAACATTTATTTTCTTAAAATAATTCCAGATAGAAGCCTCAAAGCCTATACCATGTCGAAAAACCCAAACCCTTCATTTCCTACCAATAACAAAGGGAAAGTATTGTCCAAAATTTGCAAAATCGTAATAAGCCTTGAATCAACTTTTTTCCCCCTTGTGTGTTATGAAAAAAGTAGAGAAGGTGAGAAGATGAAATTTTGAAAAACATCCCTAAAAAATTTCAACCCCAAATGCCACGCCATGCAAGGGCAAGGAAAAGGAAATGAAAGCTATAATTCTTTTCTTTTCTTTTACTTTCCTCGGCCTATGTCACGCAAAAGATAATGGAAGATGCAAGGTTTTTATGAATTACAAAAATAATAATAATAAGTTAGTGGCTAAAATTACTCTAACAGACCTCACTGTTAATTAATTTTAAATATACCTCAATGGATTTAAAAGATGATCATAATATTATACAAAACATATTCTTAGTTTTATTTTGGGATAATTTATTTATCTAGAGAATTAATTAATTGCCTCCTAATCAATACTCAAAAATCAATCTTGGGATGTGGCACTCACCCCACTCAAATTACTAGCTTTACCCAGCCTAAAAAGTTTTCATTCCTTTTATTATGTTGTTTGTATTACATGATCATCTTATGTATGTGTGTGTCTATGTATACATATATAAGAGCAAATTCGTAATGGTGGGATCATGCGTGTTCCTTTCTGTAGATTGTTATTCAGTTGTTTGTTAGATTTACATGTCTTGTCTGCATTGTATTGTTTAATTCCTACTATCACTGTTTTGCTTGTTTTGTATTGTAACGTTTTAGTTTGTAGGGTTTTATGTACTAACGTTTTATCTTAATGGAATATATTGATTTATGTTAAAAAATTAAATTTAAAAATATTAATATAATATATTACTGAAAACATCAGCAATTTGACCCCAATACTATACAAGAAAAAACTTATTTACCCAAATGCTATACATTCAAAAATAATTCTCTAAATACTACAAGTGTAAAACTCAGTTTGTGTCAAATTGATGTCTAAATTTTTCGACAAACGTGCCGTATGAAACTTGGCTTCTAAGAGACCAAGTTTCACTTGAATTAAAAAGAAAAAGACACAGATGTGACTTTATAATAGATAGAGTTGTTTATTAGGATCGAGTTCGTCGGACCGGCCCTTTTAAACCCTTTTATTTTCTTAAAAAAGTTATAATATAAAAAAATAGAAGATTAAATATATAATAAAAAGAAATGAACATATTAGATTCATTTGTCCCTCCTTCATTCATTCGTTAAGATTTAGCTAGCAATATTAGCCAATTTTAATTTTTATTCGTATTAATTTTAATGTTGCTATTTGATATTGGACTTGAATGTTTAAATTTTTTATTTATTATGGTGTAAATTAATTTAAATTTATTTTTTAAAACTTAATTTTATGTATAATAATTTTTTTAGGATTATAAATATATTTTTAGAATTTTAAATTGAAAAAAATAAAAAAAAGGGTCGAGGCCCTTCAGCTTTGAGAGCTAAGGTCGGACCTTATAAAAGAGAACCTTAAAGCACACTCGAATTTAGTATGATCAGTTCGTTTAGGCTCTAACTCTTTAAAGGTCGACTTTTTAAAATCAAACTAATCCTAATTGATAGCTCTAATAATAGGTAGGCTTACCACCCATTGCCCCCCATATTTTCTGTTCTCCTCTCCTTTCACCCTCCATCATTGAGTTGTGTGTACGAGTGAAGAGTGAAATGTGAGTATATCTTCATTTAAAGAAATTTGTTTGCATTTTGCAGGTAGAATAAACTATATAATTATAAAAATTATAAAATAACTTTTTTAAATTGTAATATAGGATTTTGTAAATTTAAATAAATATGAATTCATATTTTCTAATTTTATATTATTTAAATAAGTTTTATTTTAAAAATTTTCAATAATAGCATGAAACTTTAAAAGATAAGCTTATGATTTATAAAAAATTTTAAATAATTATAAACAAGAAATAAAAAGACTTAATGACAACAACGGTTTCTACTCAAAAAGTTTAAAAACAAAAATAATAATAATTAATTTACTGATATAAATGAATAATCTGATCAAATTTTAAATATCAGTTATTTTAACTATTTTCTTGGCATGTACAAATTTTGATTTTTAGGATTTCTTCTAGCATTTTTTCTCTATTAAAATTCTAGATAAAAATATGTTTTTAATCATTTAAATTTACATAAAATTTTATTAATTTTAGTCCCTTAAAATGATTTATATGCTACAAATATTTATAAACAATAATTCATTTGTTCCTAATCATAAAAAATTATTTTATAAATAATATGCTTATCTTTTAAAGTTTCATGTGATTATTGGAAATTTTTAGAATAAAATAACACTTATTTAAATAATATAAAACTAGTAAATATGAATTCATATTTATTTAAATTTATATTACAATATAAAACAGTTATCTTATAATTTTTTTAATTATAATTACATAGGTTATGCCACCTACAAAATACAAACAAATTTTTTAAATGAACATGCACTCACATTTCACTCTTCACTCATACATACAACTCAAGGAAGGAGGGTGGAAAGAGAGAAGAAGGAAAAAGATAAGGGAAATGGGTGGCAAAGCCTGCCCATTATGCCTGTCACATCCTGTGTTCTTTTTTTCAATTTAAGTGGAACTTTATCTCATAGAAGCTGAGCTATGTAGTGGAAGAATGGTAAGTTTGAAAAAAAAAATTTAGATATCAGTTTGATGCAAACCAAGTTACATAGTTATAGTATTCAAAAAAATATTTTTAAACGTATAATATTTGGGTAAATAAATTTATTTTATACAGTATTAGGGTCAAATTGCCCGAAACATCGAAGTCTTTGGTGGAAAAAAAACAGAGAGATGGACTTCATTTATCTTATTACTAATTTTCAGCCGTTGAATTAGTCTTGCACGAAAGAAAGAAACTTTATTCCCATTTTATTTCCACATTCCTTGATGATGCTCATAAATTGACAAAGACATTTTCCATTAATATATGTGTGCATTCAGTAAGGGAATTAGATACTGTACACAGATAACGAAGTTGTAATTAAGTTGCGTTCTTGAATTTTCTACATAAATGAATCTGATCTTCCTTGTTTATTTTGTTAAAATTCTGAATTAATTATGATAAATATCTAATACTCCCTCAATTCTTTTTTCATACCACAACTTTAACCAAATTACTCGGATTAAGGATGATTGTTAAAGTTAATTGAGAAATGATTTTTTTAGAAACTGCTAGTACGCTTTATAACTAAACAATTAATTCTGAATAACATTGAATAAAAAAGGCTTATGACATGAAAACTTAGAAAAAAGTTCAAAAAAAGTATTTAAAAGATTCTATATTCCGGTCTTTATTATAAAACATTTTCAATCATTAAAATTAGTTTTTTATTGATATAATAAAAAATAATATGTACTTTTATTTTTATCCTTAACTTTAAATAAGTTCATGTTAATCAAAGAGGGGTGAAACTGAAAAAAGGTGGTTTATTCATTATAAAATATTCTATATTGTAAACTAAAAATTACTTTTAAAAGGTATCTTATAAAAAAACTGAAATAAGTATATATTAGTTTAAAGTAAAAGTGAAAATTAACCCCTAAACTATATATTCAAGAATGTTTAAAACCTTAGACTCATTTTTTTATGTAATATTTTTTTTAACTTTTAAAAATAATATAATATGGCCTTGTTATTAATAAAAATTATTTTTAACTATTGGTTGATAAAAAAATACTAAAAAAGACATAAAAGATTAAAAAATCTAAAATATATAGTAAAAATCCAAAAATTATAGAGAGTGACCCAAAAAAAATGACTAAGAAAATTTTGTTAGTCTTTTTCTATAATTTTTTTGATATATTAGGGGTTAAAATTAACTTTTATTAATAATAGGAACTGCATTATATTATTTTTTAAAGTTGAAAAAGAATATTGCATAAAAAATAAATTTAAGATCTAGACATTTTTTAACATCTAGTTTAAGCCTCAATTTACTCTCGTATCCATTATTTTACAAAGCAAACTCAATCAATTTTGTGCTTAGTAAAAAAATAATAGTTATAGTATAAAATTGTTAAAAAAATGTAATTTTTTAATTTTACTTTGCTTTACTTATAATAACAATAATAAATTGTTGACTAATTTTTTCAAAAAGACAAAAAAGAATTGTTATCTAATAATTCAAATTATTTATAACAAATTAGAACGGGTAACATTAAAAAAAATTAATTACTCTTAACTTTATATTATATTATATTATATTTAAAACAAATTCTAAAATTTCCTTTATATTAAAGACAATAAAGAATATAATATTAAGTCATAAATACAGAAACCCCACCCTACGTATGCAACTAGCCAATACAGATGGAGCCAAAGAGGGAAGACTAATGGAAAAAATAACCCTTAATTACCATAGTTGCCATTTTTGTCTTCAATGCTTGAAAGTTGAAATATAAATATAGAGATATTTGCCGACTTTCCATTGCAAAAAAATCAGAGAAGCGATTAAGCAGAAGCAGAAGCAGAAGCAGCAGAAGAAGAAGAAGATGGGACTGGAGCACTTGAGTCTGAGCGATACAAAGGGCAAGATCATTACTTGCAGAGGTAATCATATTCACCAAAATAATATCCTCACATATACAGACTCAGTGATTTCCATTTTCTGAGATTCTGATATGTATGAAGCTGCGGTGGCTCATGGAGCCGGAGAGCCGTTGGTAATAGAAGAGGTCAAAGTTGATCCTCCCCAGAAAATGGAGGTCCGAATCAAGATCCTCTTCACTTCCATCTGCCATACAGATCTCAGTGCCTGGCTTGGCGAGGTATGCTACGCTTCCAATCAATATTCTTCAATTCTTCTTCTCTCTGTTTTTTTTTTTTTTTTTTCCGGGGGGGGGGGTTTCTATATTTATGTTCTCAATTTTCAATCATGTAACGATCCCGATCGAGACTCTATCCTTATACCAACAACAATATTTGGATCGTCACAACATTTGATTTCATCTATTTTTCTGGACAGAATGAAGCTCAAAGGGCTTACCCTAGGATTCTTGGCCACGAAGCGTGCGGGTAAGAAATTTAAATATACATGTTTCTTAATTAAGTCTGTCTTTGGCTCGGGACATTAGGTAGTTTGTGATTATTTTCTCAACTATATATCTGTACTCTTATTTCATTTATTATTTTTTATAAAACAATGATGTATTGAAGTTATAATTATCATTATTAAACACTTATGTAAAAGTTATTTGATGAGGGTATAATTGAAAAAATATAATTTTTTTTAAGAATTTAAGGTTTTAATTAACTTTTTCAAAAGTGTAAGGTATTCCTATAAATTTTATTTATAAGTCATTTTTAACATGTTTCATCAAAACTAATTTAAACTTCATGAACTTTGTATTAAAATTTAATAAAGTTTTACATTTATTACTCAATTTTTTTAATATTTAATAAGAGTAAAAAGATAAAAATGATAAGAGAAAATAGTAAAATGCTTTATGAATAGAATAGAATTAAAATTAATCTTTTTTTTTATAAATCAAACTAAAAGAATACTATCAAATGTCTTGTATTATGATTTAGAGGGAGTGTATATAATATTAAAAAATTAAAAATTTGAGAGATAATGATCTCTGTGGGTCCCCCACCCCCTTCTCCCATATTGGCTGATAGTAATTAGGATAACTATAATACAATTCATTGCAAATAAATACGGTTGATTAAAAGATATAGAAAATTGACGGTTGATGCATGGGATATGAATGAATGATAGAATAATAAATGCAGGATAGTGGAGAGCGTAGGGGAAGGAGTAAAGAATGTGATGGAGGGAGATTATGTGATTCCCATATTCAACGGCGAGTGTGGGGACTGCAACTTGTGCAAGTGTGACCGTACCAACATGTGTCACAACTTCGGAGTCAACCCCATGAAGAAGCACATGGTGGCCGACGGCGCCACCCGCTTCACCGCCGCCGACACCGGCAACCCCATCTTCCACTTCCTCAACACCTCCACCTTCACCGAGTACACCGTCGTCGACTCCGCTTGCGTCGTCAAGCTCACCGGCGTTGATCACCACAGCCTCAAAAATCTCACCTTACTAAGTTGCGGCGTGTCCACAGGTAACGTTACTAAGTTCACCTTGAAATTGGCCGGTCAAATTTTTAGTATCCTGATTAAGAGTTCAAACACGAAAGCACAGCACAGTCAATGATCTTGAAACTGACAATCGCTTTGTTCTCTTCCACGGATGCCATTGCAACGACGTGAACGTCCCTTACTCAGCCCATGGGAAGGGGCAATGGGTAATTTGACTACTATTTTAAAATTTTAATATATGGCCAATTCATTCACCATCTCTGACTTGGCTTTAAATTTATTTGAATAAATCATATCATTTTTCATTACTTTTTTGGGTCTAAGACAATTTTTATTAGTCTTATTTGAATTACATACTCATTTTTAAAATATTAGAAATTAAATTCTATAATGAAAAAAGAAAAGATTGCATGTGAGTTTCTCTTGATACACACACGCAGCCTGAAGTAAACAATATTAAACTTTTGTAGTTTCTTTTATTTTTTTAAAAAATTAAAGTATATATTTTTTATTAAAAATTAATAATAAAATAAACTTTTTTCTATTTTTTCTCAATTTATAAAAAATCGTTTTTCTTTGTATGACATTCGGCATTTTTTCAAGATAAAAAATATATAATCTTGACAAATTATATAATTTAAGAACTTATGAGAAAATTATGCTTATATATATATATTATATATGTGATCTTCATCGACTACTGTACTAAGTTTTCGTAAAACAATGGCACATGAATGTTTTAATTGTTTGACAATATTATGGTTGATTATTTCAAAAACATTAGTATCTTACTTAAACAACCTCATCTTGCGTGCGAAGCGGAGCATTAAAAGGTTTAATTAAATAGTATTATTTTTCTTGTCTGTTTTTGCATTTCTGCTGGTTGACACGGCAATATGTTGGGGAAATTGGCCATTAAAAAAAAAATCAAATAAGAAATATTTGATTCAGTAGTCACATCAACTGATTAAAGAACAAAGTACCCCAGTTTCTTGTATTTGCGTGTGATTATGTCAACAGAACAGCCAGACTAGATTGATACAAACTGACAGAGATGAGTTGGGAGAAAGTTTTTGTTCTACTTTTTCAAATATTTTCCTGATAGAATTAATTAGACTATTGGTTGACGGGAATTATGATGAGGTAAGCCAGACATTGAACATTGAATGAATTGCAACGAAGACAATGCATTGTTTCCCTTTTTTTAACCCCCTCCTTTTGCTTCCGTAATTTATGTCTTTTATCCAGGCTAGCCCCATCAATAACTTGCAAACATTTTTCTTTTTAAACCATACTCTCTTTAATATTATTTATAAAATATTTTTTTAAAAATAATTTTTATTTTAAAATATAAAACATCTTGTAATAATTAAATTATTTTTTAAATTTTATCTCTTTTTAATTAGCGTGAAGATATTTAATATAATTATATTATTATTATTTAAAATTAACAGTAAAAATGAAAGTATATTTCATTTTTTTTATAATATTAAATTTTTTAATATACATAAAATGGTTAAAAATATTTTATAATAATTACAGGTAGGAGTACTTTTCATCAAAAAATTTATTCCTTGCCACATATTTAAAGCTGGAGGTGAATACTTTTAATTAAGCTGATCAAATGAGGCTAATTAATCCAAGTTTGTTTTTTTTTTTTAAAATGAATAGCATACATGGGGGACAAGTGGGGAGAATGAGATTGGCTCAGAACACGTGGGCTGCCAGTTGTCCCTGAGGGGGGAACTGGGAAGTTAATGAATTTTCGTCGCCTGTATTGTGATGAGAACAAAAGAAATGGTCCATTATTTGATCTCTCGGAACCAGCCTTTATTTTTATTCCGTCCCTTACAAAATATAATGCAGTTTTAATCAAATATTACTCTACAATAAAATAATTATTTATTCTTAAATTAACATCATATTTTTATATTTATTTCTATTTAATAAAATATTTTATTTTAAAATAAATATAAAATAATTCATTCATTAAGGGCACTTAAAAAAATAATAATAACACCTTAAAATATTAAAAATATTTTATATTTTTTAACATTGAACCTTTTAAAAAATATATTACACTTCTGAACAGAGAGAATATGTCTTTTTACTGTGATTCAGGAATATGTCTTTTTACTGTGATTCATCATTTGACCTGATGTTAAAATTTAGGTCAATTTGATTAGTTAAACTAATAAATTAATTAATTAATGTTTTGATCAATTTAATGAAATATTTTATTTATAATCAGTGTAATTATAATGACTAGAGTTTTAACTTTTTAAACTAATATCCTAACCGGTTGAACGATAATCGATTCAAAATGAACAGTGACAGTAATAAAATAGTTGGAGTATGATAATTGAAAGACACTATAAATGAACCGCGCAGGGGTAGGAGCAGCATGGAACACTGCCAATGTGCAATCGGCATCCAATGTTGCTGTCTTCGGTTTGGGAGCTGTGGGCCTTGCTGTCAGTTCTCCTTCTCCATCCTCTTGCAAATTGCATTCAATCATTTTTTTTTTTTAGTCTCTGATATTTCTGCATTTTCTCTTTTCAAATGATGTGGTTGACTCTGCATTTTTTTTTTTAAATATATTGTATCCAAATTGACTCAGGTGGCAGAAGGTGCTCGAGCAAGAGGGGCATCCAAGATAATCGGCATAGACATCAACCCCGACAAATTCACCAAAGGTATCTTCCTCACATATGTATAGATTCTTTTTTTTTTTTTTTTTTTTTTACTATTATAGCCATCTACGTATCAAATAATTTATCAATTACTAAATTCTTGTTTGTTTTTTTCATCAACGCATTAAAATTATTGTTTCGTTTCAATAAAAATTTAGATGGTTAGATTTTACTACGTTGTAATAAAAAATATAACTAACACACTTTGAACGTGGTGGAAGCCCGGGACATGGGAGTGACGGATTTCATAAATCCAAGGGATGAAGAGAAGCCTGTCTTCGAGGTTCGTCCTTTCTCTCTAAGCAATGATACTATCTTACATATAATATTGAGCAAGGATTGATGCTTAAAAAAAATTATCGCAAATAATTTTTTCCTCATGATAAATACTATATCATTGGCAGAGGATAAGAGAAATGACCGGAGGAGGAGTAGACTATAGCTTTGAATGTGTAGGAAACTCTGATGTCCTCCGAAATGCCTTCTTGTCTGTTCATGAGGTATTCATTTCTTTTTCATATATACTAACGACAAGGATTATTGATCCAGTTCCTGAACATTGATTTGAAACAACTCATTCCCTATAATATCTTAACTTATAACTATTCAATCTAATTTCTTGATTTGATTCAACTCAATTCTTACAAATATTTAATGAGTCACATAGACTTGCGTTAAAGGAAAACAAATTTCAGGAATTAAATAGGTAATTGAGACTAAGTTTAAGGGCTGGAAGTTATGTTATCTGTAAAATTTAAAAGTGGTGTGACTTAGTTTGACAAATATATTTGGGTGAAACAGGGATGGGGATTGACAGTAATACTTGGAATTCATGCAACCCCACAAATGCTTCCAATTCATCCAATGGAGCTGTTTGATGGTCGCAGAATTGTTGCTTCGGTCTTTGGAGGCTTCAAAGGAAGGACCCACCTCCCACTTTTTGCCAAACAATGCTTGCAAGGAGTAATAATCATCCAACACATCCCCCCTTATCTTTCATTAATTTAATGTTACATCATCATTGTATAAACTATTTTAGAATTATATTCATATAAAAAAGTATGATCACATGATAATACTTACTTGTCATGGCTCTAACTTCGCAGGTGGTGAAGCTGGACGGGTTCATCACTCACGAGCTTCCCTTTGATGACATTAACAAAGCCTTTGATCTTTTGGTCTCTGGAAAGTCACTGAGATGTCTCCTACACCTGTGAGATATATGAAAGACACTGCAGTGTTTCACTGGAAAAAAATGCAGAATTCGTACTGTGAAAAAAATTAAATAACAATAGAAGTCTGCACTTGAATATTACATGTATGTCACTAAGCAGGATATTTTTTCTTCAGAATTTTGTATAACAGGTTGATAATGCTGCAGTATCTGTGAGCATAAGTTATTATAATGTTGCCCATAGGACACTGATGAGTCCATTGATTTCGGTAGAACAATAAATAAGGATAATGTCATGTAAATAAGTCATGATAAGCTAAAGAACAAAAGAACTTGGATTAACCTGTATAATATTTCCAGCACTCAGTTTGACAAATACAACATGGCAGAATTAAATACAGCTACCTAAAAATGAATTGAGCATATCAATATAGTATTTACAAAGCACTTAAAACGACCGTTTCTCCTACAAGGTTCACTTCGCATTGGTACAAAAAAAGACAAGTTGGATGGAGTTCCTTAGACTCAGTTTCTCGGATGAGTAAAGATATTGTAGTGGATTTTTTCCCTCGAACTGAGCACCAAATTATTGATTGCTTTATGAAAACTTCTTCACGGATCATAGATGGACTGAAGTACCTCGCAGAGAGCACTTTTTGATTTTTTCCGCCCTACAACAACATTGCCAGCAAAGCTGGCAGTTCAGGAGTGAAAAAACTCCTATAACTAGTAGGTGATGCTACAAGAGCAATATCCTCGGAGGAAAAGATAGGCTCCGACAATATGAATTATACTTTCAGCATCACTGAGTCTTGGTATTTGTTTGTTTCTTACGATTTTCCTCTGTGATAGTTTGAAACTCTTTCTCACTGGCTGCAATTAGGCGTTTGACAATGTCATATGCGGTTAGCCTGATGCTGCACAGAGAAACAGTAGAGAAATCAAACGAGGAAGCACAAAACGTGATTCAGGGTAAAATATACACGATCATAATTAACTCTACTTTTCATCAATATGCATGCTTAGCATAGTAGAAAAGAAAATGAGCATGTCTTAGCGATCATAACACCAAAGGCCTAGCTTAAGACAATACTTGAGCTACTTATATTTTAACAAGCGGGATGGAATGACGTGTTCAGAAGAAAATGAGGTTATCCCCAGGCAATGAGAAGGTTGCAATAACAATCAAGTCAATAGATCATAATCTTTATTGATACTGCCTCTGGTCCTAATTACAAGGCAAGGTTAACTACTTCGCGGTTTTTACGGCGTGGCAGTTAGCATCCTTAAACTTTTTTAAAAAAACCATATATCTTTCAATTTTTCCTTTCACTAAAATTAAAGTCCACAACAAAATGCTGTACCAATCCCCATGAAACATAATGAGACCAGAAATAATAAAGAAGGGGTAAGATTGTAAAAAATATCAACACTACATTTTTGCTCTATATTTTGAACTAAACAAGGCTTTTTAACTTAGCCCAGTGATTAGAAATGGAGGGAGTATGGACAATAGAAGATCAGAAGTACCTGCTGCTCGGTAGGTTTTTCAAGGCATTGGGCACAAAACCCCGGTATAAACCAATAATTCCATCCCGTTCCGCAATACCTGCATTAAGGGGATTATTGAATTGCTAATAGCACATACTATGAGGCAGTAAACTTCAAGCACTCTAATCTTCTAAATAAATTAAAATATATCCGCAACAAGAGGCTACAACCTGGTTAAGCCAGAATTCCAAGTATATTGATTGATATTTATATTTAAATTGCCTTTTACCTGTATAGAGTTCCTCACAGAAAATATATATGGGCTAGTTTCATGCTTAAAGGCCACAATTTCTTGTTAGGAGTTTCATGCATATAATCTAAAAATCATTGAAAAATTAAATAGAATCTAAAATTATTTCAAGATGTAGAGCGTCACACACAAAATCATAATTCCTATATAAACTCGCCAGAAGTTTCATCGATGAAATATTTTTAATAGCAGAAAGAGAATCTGGCACGGTCAGCTGAAATTGATTTTGAAGGCCTTTGATAGGACCAAGCTATGTTTCTTGCATGCCCTCTCTCCTCACTAAAGTGATAAAAATAAATAACTTCTATAAACCATAGACATAGCACCATCATGCCCCAGTAAACGGCTACAAAATAACGCTCATAATATACTTGAATTTGAATCACTTGGGTGATCAAACCTATTTCCAAATCTTACCCTATTTTATATTATAATAACACCACCTATGAAAAATTTTGGGTAGAAAATTCAAGATGAAAAGGAAAACACTGTATGGAAGAAAATGTAACAGTAGACCTCATTCCGTTAAAGCAACTCTCAACTGGAGTCCTGATCCCTCCTACCAAATAGGTTATTACCCATTCAATTTCCAGTCAAGAATTGGAATACTATACCCTCCGATCCTATTTATAAGACACCTTCTAAAAGTAATTATTGGTCCAAAATATAGAATACCTTATAATAATTAAATCACTTTTTTTCCCTTTCTTGATTAGCATGAAGGTATTTAATATAGTTGTATCATTATTTAAAGTCAAGGATAAAAATAAAAATACATCTAATTTTTTTTAGGATATTAAAAAAAAAATTAACTTTTCTAAAAATGCATGAAACCATCGAAAGTGTCCCACAATAAAGACCAGAGGGAATACATTATCGTGATTCAGTGACTGACATCTGCTGATGACAGAGACAAATTTTAAGTACATAAGCATTCATATAAAACTGATTGCTCAAAAATTCTAACAATGTCTGATTAAGAAATATTTAATTCCAGGCACCCATAAAGTGACTTGACAACAGCTATAAATGCCAACAACCGTGACCGAAAGACTAAACACTAAAACACAAGCTAGACCTTTTAGAATATTAGACTTTCAAACCTCTAATGTTAAATAACCTGTGAAGCTTATACATTTGTCACTAATTAGCACACAAAATACGGAGATAAGCATACACACATATACCAACTGTGTATGCAAGAAAACTATTTTATGTTGAAAGCAAAGAGAAGCAACGCCCACCTGTAAGAGCATCTAGAACGTGTTGTAAGGTGTACCCTTAATTTGCATCTGTCTTCGCACAGTGTCTAGAGGGTAGCATGTAATTGTGGCGAGAGAAGCCGAAAGTACAGCTGTTAGTAGGGAGGTTTCAGTTCTCTTTTGATATTTTTCAGGCAAAGACTTCTTTAATCTATCATTCAAAGATGATCAAGATGTTTCAATTTCAATATCCAAGCCATTCTCTTTTAATTTGCTAAGAAGAAAAAAAGATTATCCGCGAACTCACAAGTCAAAAACACAAAAGTTGACAGCAATATAAGGAGCTATTCCAATTAGGGAAGGCCACAAGCCATAATAGAAAGATGCAAATCCTTCATCTCTTAGCATGCCCAAAGCAACCTAGAAAAGCCAAAGTTTGCTCCATTTTTAAAGAGGCAGATCTTTGTGAGATAAAAAAGCCAGGCCTATCATACCTCTGTCATGGTTCGATAACCTGGTTCAACTGCTAATCGTAATCTCAAGACATCTAATGGGTATGTTATCTACGTAGTCATGAAAAGAAAATTAGATGCATTGATAGATATTATAGTTATAAATAACAATAAATAAATTCACAGTGATATATAGAGTATACTGTAATAAAATGCTGGAATGAAGCACAATAACGTAATAACATGGCTGTCAATCCTACAAGACCTTTGAAATAAGTTACTTACAAGAGTGGATGCCATGCCTGCAAAAGCACCTGCAGCAAGTCTTCCAAAAACAGAGAGCTCGCCATTCTTTCCCCTGAATATTTTCTAGAAATCCAAAAGGATAACTCTAGACATGGGCAAGAAATATTTAGCATTGAAACATTTAACGAGATAGTCAGGGGGTTGGTTACCTTACAGGTTTCATAAGCAAAAAGCTGGACAGCACTATAGGGTATGATCCGAATCACCTGGGATACAAAAGAAGAAACACTAAAATGAAATGACCAGTCAATATTATTTGGAGAAATAGATACCAATAGACTTAACATTTGCAGAGACCTGGGGAACGTTGCCCTTCCAGTAGCCCTTGATGCCTTCTTCTTTTGCTATAACTGTTATAGCCTGTAATTCGTATTAGAGTTAGCTCCAATAAAATTCTTGGATAAATGCTCCAATCAAAAGAGCATTTACTGACAAGATACATTAAAGGTTGGGGCAAAGAGATAGGGAAGACTAAAAATTCAGCATCAACTGACCAGTACATACAAATCTTTTGCCAAGAGTATGCATCTAGTGACAAAAGGGAACCTTATGATAAGTTAGTTGGCAATTTTAATACTGAAAATTTAGTAAATTATCTTTCAATTAGATAGGTACAAAAATCAAGTTCTACCAATTTAAGAGCAAACAACTTCAACAAACCCAAGAATGGTTGATTGATAGCGAGCAACAACTGAATAAGCACGTTTAACACCAAACAGAAAACAAACTATCTTGCAACCATCTTGTTCCACTTTCATTTAGAAGGAATTTCAATAACTAATATTTCATCATATAGGCCATATTTTAAAGTGTTCAATGAATAGTCCACTATACTTGGTCACAGGAATCGAATCAATAACCAGGAAACATCAAAGCCATCAATCCTAAAAGTACCCAATTATATTTGAGAAATCTGGAAAATGACAGCAGTCTGCAGGTGCGTTGGTTTCCTTAAGAACCCTGCTCCTGCTGTCTGGAAGTGGAACCCATGAAATGAACACAAGGATTTTAGGATAAAAGAAAAAAAATTTCAGGCCAATGGCTCGAAGGAGGTTACACATGGCACATAAGCAATCAGCTTCTTATAAAACAACAAAAGAAAGATCAACACTTTTAATGCCTCCATGCTATTAGCTACCATAAAATAAATAAAAACAAACTGCACATATAAAATAGGAAACGATGCAATCATCAAATACCTCAATGAATCCAATTGCCTTCTTAGCACTTTCTTGCCCTATTCGTATTCCATGAGTCTGCAAACACATAATGCCGTATTAAAACAGTCAGCGATCTATACGCACAAGAACAAAGCAAAAACTTTTCTGATCAGCAAAGGCGCATATCTCTTAGCTAAATGATCAGGACACCAGTATAAAAAATTTACCAAAAAAAAAAAAAAGGAAAGGAGAAAGAAAAAAATGAAAAGAGAAACTGGAAAAAGAAGGCCACGATATGTCAATGACGTCCAAACAAATTACAGAGAGCATCTTGGCCCCAAAAAAAAATTATAGAGAGCATCAACTCATTTAAATTGAATAAAGATATTGGACATAGCTCCAATTTCTTTTACCATGAAAACAAAGTTGAAACTAGCGAAAGCTTATATCCAGTCAATGTTGACAAAATATCGAACTTCCACACTAATTTACATTTACTGGTTTCAATCTCCAAGCTTAACGACAAAAAATTGAATTGTCCACGCTTCGAAAAATGTAGCGAATTTCAGCCATTACAATTCTCGAAAATAAACAAGTATAACAAATGCAGGTGAGGAATTAACCGTGTCAAGTCAGAGACAGCACCTGCATAAGGATCTTGATGCGGTCCAGCGGAGCAGTGACAGTCTTGGCAGTAGCACCGGCAATGGCTCCGGCAAAGAACACGCAAACATCTCTGGGCACGAATGTGACAACGGCCAGTGGATGCTTCAGGAGCTGAGCCAGCGTCGGCCTGAATTGTTTTTCAACTTTCCTCTCTGCTATCGAAACACAGGCGAATTTGCAATCATCGCCGCGGGAACCAACCTCGCCATAACCGTCGGTGGCGAGACTGAGGGTGATCTTCTTCCACAACGGTTCATGGTCTTCGGGGTCAACGACATTGTTCAAAGAGTTTGAGAGGTTTGGAATGCTTCGCGTTGCGAAAAGGACTCTTTCCTCTCTCATGGTTTGGTTCAGGATGAAGCACAACGCAAAGGAGATTAACGAGGAAGGTGGACGCAGGAGAGAGGAGCCAATACACATCCAACACACACGCACGTATACAATGCTTTGTGTGCGTGCGTGCGTGCGTGAGTGTGTAAGCTTTTGACAGTTACATGATATGGTGGTTTAAAAAAAAAAAAAAACAATCTACATGATGAACATGGGACGGGGAAGATCAGTTACATGAAATATGAAAAATTAACCATTGGCCTCCACATTTTGGGCATGCTAGTTTTTAACTCACTTAACATAACTCGGTTTTTATAATTTTATCCATTTCTTAAATTTTAACACAACTGAATTCTTATAATTTTAGCAATTAAAAAAAATTAATACTGATTGCTCATGGAAGGGTCAAACTTCTTCACGTGTGCCAAGCATGCCGAAGGAGTGAATCCTTGATCTGAGCGTTGTGGATACCTAAGATCCTTTATCATAATTTTTTTGGATCATTGTGGCTGTTCAGCACAATGGGCTCAATTTTTTTGGAGAAATCAAGCATGTTAAAAGAAACGTGAATGAGTACAATGTAGAGGAAATGTTTAAGTTTCCAAAACCGTAACTAATCTCAAGGCACTGAAGTTACAAAGTTATGTTAGATGAAGCTATGCAAGTTTGGTTGCTTTCTTCTTTTTAGCAGAAGGAAGTAGTTTGTTACATTTCACATTGGACGAAATTATTAGTATATAAGTAGGTGCACCACACACTTCATTAAGTTAGCTTTTTGGGAAGAAAGTAATGACTTTATGATAAGGATCACTCATGATAAGAGCGTTATGGATTGGTCAGAAGAGCTATTATATTCCACATTAGAGAAACTTGAAGAGAGTCCTAAGAATATAAGTGAGTGCTTTGTACATTCTATTGAGCTAGCTTTTTAAGAAGAGAATAATAGTTTTGTGATAAGATGTTTTGTGTTTGAATTCAAATCTCTTCTGTCAAGTGATGGAGATAATTGCTCTTGCTCTTTTAGGGCACTAAGGGTTCTTCATGGATGAGGACATGCTCTACATTTTCAGGGCAAGATAGGTGGATGGGCATTTCTAGATGGATGGGGTTGATACCCACCATTTCACTTAAACCGGCATTGCTCCTCTTCTCTAATGGGCTATACTACTACTTTAATTGGATGTTAAATATGTCCAACTCTATTTAATCAGCCCCAAGAGCATTTGTTATATTTTAATAATAACTTTGTTTTTTATAATTTTATTCTTTAAAATGTAAGGACCAACATTTAAATAGATAAAATTATAGGAACTGAGTTAAAAGAGTCAAAATTTAGATATTCAATTTCAGTTGAGTTAAAATTATAAGGATTAATTTATTGAAGACTGAGTTTTAATTGAGTCAAAAATTATAAGAATTAAATTATTAATTTTTACTTAAATATATTAAAATACTTAAAATTAAATGGACAGCTGCAATTAGATTAGATAGCAACTTGGATTGAAGTAGTTTATGTGTTGTGACCTGATTGAAGAGTACACAGTTGATGTGATGCTTCTAGAGCATGGAAGAATTTCTCTATATGCGTGTTTAACAAATGATATTGGCAGGTGGGGTGGTCTCGCTTAATAGCTCTTTCCTTGTATGAATTCCGTCCAAACTCCAAGAAACACTTTGAGCTTTAGTATCATGAAAGTACCAATTCTTTTAAATTTTATTTTATAAGTTCATGTTATTATTCATTTAGTAAATCTTTTTTACTTTAATTTTTAATAACTTTATCAATTCACCACAATTTCTTAAAAAAAAAAAACGAAATTAAGGTATTCTTTTACTTGTTTTAAAACCTCTACATGTCCTTTATATAGAAAAGATATAGCCACACAAGTTTAAAACCAAATGCACTACCAAAAACAAAATCAAAAGCACAGATTGTTCTAATGGGCAGAAATATAGTCCAACTCAATTGATTAAATACTTATATTTAAACTATTGTCATAATTAAGGACTTAAAGTCAAGATGTTATCTACTTCCAGGAAAAAGTATGATAAAATTCTACTTTCGTTTGACCATATCATCAATTGATATCACAAAACTGTTCAAACACATTCAAACTATCCTATACATCTAACAAAAGCCTATTCAGGATTTAAATAACACCAGCCTCCAGTCCCATTTTTACAGTTCTGTTGTTCAACTCAAAGAGCCTTATGACTAGACTAGAGACTGGACTATCGTTTAGCAATATGGGCGAAGAAGTGTTAACTTTGTTGCTTGCTCAATTCCGTCCTTTGAGCATTGCAGGCACTAGTGGATAATGGTTGTATAGGATTCGGCTTAGGCCTCCCTTTTACACACACACACACACACACACACACACACACACACACACAAAGCTCTTTCCACATGTAAATTTATTAATTTCACAACTTCTATATATATATATATATATATATTAAGAAAATACTGATTCTATGATATTACTATGAAACAACCATTACAAAAATACATCCAAAATCAGAAAAAAGCAAAAATACATCATGAAAGGTGAGGTTGCTCCAAGGTGCAAAGAGAAGCATCAATATCCTGTGCATGTGTCTCTAAGCCAGCAGCACAAAGACTGTTTTCTCTATAAATACAATTAAAAATAACCTCCCATTCTCTCAACAATAAATTCCTAGTTTCTTCAATCACATCTTTGAATGGGTGCTCGCCACTGTTTCCTCTGGTTAAGAGATTTATAGCTTGTGCACAATCTGAATTGACTTCAATCTCGCGCATACCACTGTGCCAACTCAAATATTAGACCTGTTACAATCCCTATAGTTTCACATGCATACTTTAAAAAATGAAGCTACCCTATCATCCCTTGTTCATACTGTAGTGAAAACATATATAGTCTAATTACTTTCACACGCATAACCAGACTATTTTCCAAACTTAGCATAATAGACATCACAGTGCATCAAAATAGACTTAAGCCAGCATATTCATCCACTTTAGCTAGAAGCCAATTTGCATGCTCTTATCTTCGCTTGTTCTTTCACCTGACATGGTTAGAACGAGATCAACAGTGAGATTTTGGAGAAAATTTCAGTAGCAAAACCGCCCTTCTTTTGTGTGCATGTTTGTCACTTGTGTAAATCGAATGCTTGCATGCATTTATAGTTCTATGAATTGAACTTTGTTTTAAGAAATGAGTTGGTGTGTGATGCTGACAGTTCAGGGAAAGCACTCCCATAGTTAGTGGATGATGCTGCAAGAGCAATAACTTCAGAGGATATGAATAGGTTGTGATAATATGAATTCAATTCTCAGCATCAATAAGTCTTGGAATTTGTTTGTTTCTTGCGATTTTCCTCAGTGATTGTTTGAAACTCTTCCTCACTTGCTGCAATTAGGCGTTGAACAATGTCATATGTAGTAAGCCTGATGCTGCAAAGAGAAACAGTGGAAAAATCAGATGATAAAGCATTCATTAAGGGTAAATATACACAATCATAATTATATATATACTCCTTCCAGTCCCTATTATAGGACAAGAGCACCTTCTAGAAGGATTTTTTGGTCTTTAACATAAAGTATTTGATGGGGTATTAATTTACATTTTTTCAATATTACCTCTATTTAAACTCATTAACTATGAGAGAGAATGTAATATAAATTTAAAAAATTCTCATTTAGAAAAGGGTAAAATTGAAATTTATTCTATTTTCAGAAAAAATTAATATTTTAACCATCTCACCATGGTTTCGATAAGGTAGTTAGAAACATTATAATAGGCACTAGAGGGAGTACACACAAACTGCGTATGCTTAATGCAGTACTAAAGAAAATTAGTTTTCCTTAAAAATCTTAATGCCAAAAGTGCAGCTTAAGACAATATTGATTCGCTAATATTTTTCACAAGCAGGAAGCAATGATTTATTCAAGGGGGGAAGACAAATGTAGTTATCACCAGGCAAGGTTATAAAGATTGAAACCATTAAAACCCATGGAAAAAATATGTATTCTGCAAATAAAGAAAAACCCATTGAAATAGATAAAAATTTAAGTATTGGTTTTATTTTTTATTTTTTTTTGGCCCGGGGGGGTTGGTTTGGGGGCAACGTTTAAGTATTGGTTTGACGCAACGAGGAGGTTGCAATAAAAATCAGGTTAATAGATCACAATCTTTATTGTATAGACAACGGAAAATCAGAGGAACCTGCTGGTTGGGAAGTTTTTCAAGGCATTGGGCAGAAAACCCCGGTACAACCCTATAGCTCCATCCCGTTCGATAATACCTGCATTGGTTGATTCATTGATTTGGTAATAGCACAATCTACTGAGGCATTGAACTTCAAGTGCTCTTATCTTTCAAAATAAAATAAAGTGTCTCACACTCGAGATAGACTATGACCTGTTTAAGCCTGAATTCAAATTATAGTGATCGATATCAAATTGCCTTTTTGCTGTACAGAGTCCCACCTATAGCATGCATGGTCTAGTTTCGTGTTTAAAATCCAAAATTCCTTGTCAGGAGACAGGAGTTTCATGCATATATAATCTGAACAAGCATAGCAATATTAAACAGAATCTTCAGTTGTTTTGAAATGTAAAATCCTAATTCTTATACAAACACTCTAGAAGTTTCATAGATGAAATATTTCTCAATAATTGAAATAAAAACCAATACCATGCGGATGGAAATAAGCAAGTTGGGAGAGCTATCTGACTATCTCCAATTTAGGACCTAACGATCCTCAAATCTAAATTAGTTGATAGTATTGAATAAAAGATATTTTGTGTATCAGCATTTCATATCCTATTCATAAAATCCCTCTTGGTGTTGCTGCATACATTGCAACAATTCTGTACCTCCGAATGCATAAATTTTCAGCATTCAAAGTCTTCAATAAGTATTCATATAAAACTGATTCCAAAAAATCCCAAGAATGTCTGATTAAGGAACTATTAAATTCCAGGAACCAGAAAAGTGACTTGGCTCCTGCGGCTACAAATGCCAACAACATTGGGCAAAATACCAAACACTCACACAAAAGTTAGACCTTCTAGTAAAGCGAACTTTCTAACCTCTAATGTCAAGGTCAAACAACCTCTGAAGCTTATATATTTGTTACTAATTAGCACGGATTGTAGATACAAAGACACATACCAAATGCATGTGAGGCACTATTTCATGTTGAGAGTAAAGGAGAAATCCCTACCTGAAAGAGCATCTACAACTGTCTTGTAAGGTGTACCCTTAATTTGCATCTGTCTTCGCATAGTGTCTAGAGGGTATGATGTCAGCGTGGCAAGAGAAGTTGAAAGAACAGCTGTTAGTAGTGAGATTTCAGTTCTCTTCTGATATTTATCAGGCAAAGACTTCTTTAATCTATTATTCAGAGATGATTAAGATGTTTCAATCACAATATCCAAAGCCATCCTCTATTAATTTACTTAGAAGATAAAATATTGTCCGTGAACTCACAAGTCAAAAACACAGAAATTGACAGCAATGTAAGGAGCTATTGCAATTAGAGAAGGCCCCAACCCCTTGTAGAAAGATGCAAGTCCTTCGCCTCTTAACATGCCCAAGGAAACCTGGAAAAGCCACAGTAGGACCATTTTCACAGAGGCAGATGTTAGTTATATGCAAAAGCCAGCTCTACCATACCCCTGTCATTGATCGGTAACCAGGTTCAACAGCTATTCGTAATCTCAAGACATCTAATGGGTATGTTACCTACATCAATATGAACAAAATTAGATAAATTGGTGGGCATTGTAAATAGCATTAAATAAAATTTAAAAAGAGTCATGAGAATTTAGAAGTGTAAAAACAGATTAATTCACCCAAAAAAACTGTTCATAGTGGTATGTAGAATACAATATAATGCTGGAATGAAGCACAGTAACACGACAACATGTTTGTCAAACCCACAACTAAATCCTTGTGTATTTTTGAATCACAGAAAACTGTATATTATTCACAGATGCACAGTACATATATAGTTTACAAATAACAACTATAAAGGAAAGAAAATCAAATCCAGAATAAAATATTAACTCCCATGATCCCATCTAATTATATCCCTATATTTAAGGAATAAATCTTTCTAATAAAATATATTAAATATTAGTTTGACTATTTTCACACTCTCCCTCAAATTGGATCATAGATACTAATTATGTCCGACTCGCTCAAGCAAATTTCAAAAGCAAGTTTATGCAACCCTTTAGTCAACATGTTTGTTGCTTGAAGATTTGTCGATAGGAAGGTTAGGCATATGATTCCATCTTCCACCTTCTCTCTAATGAAGTGTCTGTCTATCTCCACATGCTTAGACTTCTCATGTTGGATAGGATTCAAGGCCATATTGATGGCAGCCTTATTATCACAATACAGTTTTAGTAGGAGATCGAGTCAAACATGGATTTCCTCCAATACCCTCTTCAACCAAGGTTCTTCCATTGTGCTTTGAGCAAGTACCCTTAACTCAGATTCAGCACTATTTTAGGAGACAACTTTTTGCTTCTAACTCTTCCAGGTAACAAGATTTCCCTATACAAATGAGCAATAACCAGTAGTCGATCTTCTGTATGGACGACATCCACCCAAATCTGCATCTGTGTATACTTCTATAGTTCTTCGATCATGCTTTTGGAACACCAAACCTCTTCTAGGGGTACTCTTCAAATACCTCAGGATCTTATATGCCACTTCCATGTGTTTTTCCTTTGGTTCAAACATATATTGACTAGCTACACTCACAGCAAATACTATGTTAGGTCTTGTGTGTGAGAGATAGATAAGTTTCCCAAAAAACCTTTGATATCTCTTTGTTAGCTAGCTTTTCTTTTTCCTTATCCTCCTCTTCCTCAGAATTGCCCTCTTCCTTCTTAGATTTTTGCTTCTTCCTTGGAACATCAATAAGGGTTTCAACAGGTTTACACCCTAGCATACTTGTCTCTTTTAAGAGATAAAGTACTTTTTTTTTTTGAGATACATAAATACCCTGCTTTGATCTGGCAACCTCCATGCCCAGGAAATACTTCATATCTCCAAGGTCCTTGACCTTGAATTCTCTTCACAGAGCAGCTTTCACTCTTGTTATTTCTTCACTATGGTCAGAATACACCTCTTACCTCCCTCTACTTTGACAAACATGGTATGATCCGATAGTCCTTGTTGGTAGCCTTGTAATATTAAGATCTTTGAGAATCTATCAAACCAAGCTCGCGAGGATTGCTTCAGACCATATAAAGATTTCTTTAATTTGCATACTTGGTCAACCCTTCCCTCAATGAAGCCAAGGGGCAAGGTCATATAAACTTCTTTTAATTCTACATTTAGAAAGGCATTTTTTATGCCCATTCAGTGTAACGGCCATTCAAGGTTGGCTGCTATAGATAGCAGTACCCAAATAGTACTCCCTCTATTCCAAATTATAAGACACTTTTAGGAAAGATTTAACGTCCTAAAATATAAGACACGTTAATAAAAATAAAGTTTCATTAATGATTCTTTTTCAATATTACCCTTCTCATATATTCTCTTTTTTCAATATTCTTTTATCAATGGAGTATTAAATGAAGGATATTTTTGAAAGTTTATATTTTTGTCTTGAAAAAATAAGGTTGTAAAGTGTATTTAATGAGTTTTATTGGTATGTGAGATTTTGTCTAAAAGTATCTTATAATTTAGGACGGAGGGAGTATTTAATTTTGCCATTGGTGCGAAAGTTTCCTGGTAATCAACGCCATGAGTCTGTGTGAATCCTTTAGCCACCAATCGAGCCTTCAACTTATGGAGGCTCCTCTCAGCCTGATATTTAGGGTAAAAATCCATTTGCAACTTACTAGCTTGTTGTACCTTGGCTTCTGCACAGTCTCCCAAGTCCCATTTTCTTCTAATGCTTTCATTTCTTCTAAGATAGCCTCTCTCCATCCCCTTGTTTTTAAGACCTAGATGTTATTAAGAATACTAATATTTAGCAATAAATGCTCCATAACTACGTGACAGGGCTTCATATGACAAGTATTTTTGAATGGGATGTTGTGTACAAGACCGAGGTTTCTTCCTAAGGGGAATTGGCAATTCTAGATCAACTTCTAAGGTCTTCTCCATATCAAGATTTTCATCAATACTCTTATCTTCCTCTCCGAGACTTTCTTTCCTAGAATCTCCCACCAGTTCTAATCTTGGTACTGCCCTGTATGAGGGCCCTTATACCTTGTTTCATCTTTCGTGTGTAAACTTTGATCTCTTTACCCTTGGCACCAGCATCCTTGTCTCCCCCCGAACCTGCATTTTCTTTTGCTTCTAGCATACAAGGTACAGGCACAGGCTCAAGAGAAATATCAAGAGAAGTATGGTGGTTAAGAGAGTCAATAGGAGAATGCTCACGGTCAAGAGTCAACTGAAATTCACTCCAATGCTCCCCCTAAATTGAAGGAGATGGGTAAAAAGACTCAGGTTCAGAGAAAGTGACATCATGGCTAACATAGAGATGCTTGGAAGAAGGATCAAAGCATTTGTACCCTTTCTAGATGGAAGAGTAAACCAAGAACACACACTTGACAACTTGAGGCTCAAGTTTGGTGGATGAATGGAGATGAACAAAGGCAGAGCACCCAAAAATTTTCAAAGGAATATTGGTCTCAATGAGAGAGAGTTTGGCGAAGACACTCAAGTGGAATAGAGTAGGACAATATTTTACAAGGTATACGATTAATGAGATAAGTGGCAATAAGAATGGCATGTCCCCAGAAGTATTTAGACACATTTGTGGTAAACAGAAGGGAACGAGCAACTTCGTAAATGTCTATTTTTTTGTTCAGCCACCCCATTTTGTTAAGGGCAGTTAGCATAGGAACTCTTATGAATATATTCAGTGCTGTTATCAGTTTGGAGAATTTTAATAGATATGTGAAATTGGTTCAATGTTCAATATCATGGTAAAGAATTTGATGAAAATAGATGTCACATAAGACTTATCTTTCATTAGCTATACCCAGCACACACGAGTATGGTCATCAATAAAAGTAACAAACCACTTGGTATGAGTTCTATTAGGAACACGAGAAGGATCCCACACATCACTATGAACGATAGCAAAAGGTTGAGAGAGCTTGTATTGAGAGTGCGGAAATGAAGATCGATGATGTTTGGCCAATTGACAAATATCACAATGAAAACTAAAAATTTTATTAGATGGAAAATGAGGAAACAAATGACTCAAGTAGTGGACATTGGGATGACCTATTCTTTTATGCTATAACAAAATATTAACACTTTCAAAGGTAAATGCAAGGTTGCAGCAGATATGAGACTAGAGATTAGTCATGGTTGATTCATCCAAGTAGAAGAATCCATCACACTCCTTAGCAATGCCAATCATCTTCCAAGATGAGAGATCTTGGAAAATAGAATGAGTAGAAAAAAATGAGCACTACAATGAGGTTGTTTAGTCAACTTGCTTATAGATAACAAATTACAAGCAAGATAAGGGACATGAAGAACAGAATCCAATTGCAAAAATTCAGTAATACTAATACTGCCCTTTCTAGCTATAGTAGAAGAAGTGTCATTAGTTATATCAAGTTTTTCACGTCCACTATATGGGACATATGGTGTAAATAATGTAGAATCCATAGTCATGTGATTAGAGGCCCTATAATCAACAATCCATTTAGACTTAGCAGAGCAAACATTGAACGGATAATGAGAATTACCTCTCTTAGCCACCAAAGCATTATGTGATAAAGAAGATGACTGGATGGATTGTAAGGATTAAAGCGTTTCAATGAGCTTATTTAACTGGTCCTTATCAACAGCCAAAAAGGAAGTAGGTTTGTCTTGTGTAGACTTAGATTTAGCCTGATAACCATGAGACTTACCTTTACAAGGTTTCTAGTCAAGGAGCTTTCTATGGAGATCCTAACACTTACCTTTCAAGTAGCCAGTATTCTTACAATGGTCACACACAATTTTTCCTTTTGCATCCTTTTGTCCTTAATTAGAATGCCTGCTTACTAAAGCAGAAGATTCAAATGAAGGAGGAACAAAAGAAGGGGTAGGTAACATCAACTTACGACGAGAAGACTCTCCGCAAACTTCAGCAAAAGCATCATAGGTTGATGATAATGGGGTGCGATCCAATATGCGACTCCAAACATCATCTAGTGAGTGACGAATGCCATCCAAGAATTGAATGACCCACTCATCTTCAATACGACACTTGTACCTTACTGCATTGTTGGAACAAGACCATTCCTCATTTGTGTTGAGGTCAATTTCTTGCCATATAGCAACTAGGTCCAACCAGAATTCTGTTACCTCCCATTCACCTTGTTTGATTTGCCAACTTCGTGTCTTCAAGTCATAAAGTCAGGCACCATCTTCACCATCCGAATATAACTCCTTAACCGCTTCCCAAATATCTTGTGCCATTGGAAGAAACATGAAGGAGCGTCGAATTTGTGGTGTCAAAGCATTAATCAGCCATGAAGCTACCATAGAATTGTCAGTCTCCTACTTCACCATAGCCTTCGAGTCTAATGTGTTTAGAACCTTAGAGTGGCTAATGATTAAACCCAGCTTGCCTCATCCCCTGATAGCAAGTTTGATTGCTTGGGCCCATTCACGATAGTTGCAGCCATTGAATTTTTCTGAGATGAGAAGAGTAGAAGTCCCTTTGGTAGAACTCAACCCTTAGGGAGTTCCACCATATGGGTTAATGTTTAAGTCAATCCTTGCGCCAACGCCAATACCTATAGTTGGAAGGTGTAGAATGCACGAATCTGACCCTACGTGTGATGCAATTCTGGTGACGGAAGCTGAAGAGAGGGAGTAGCACAGTGCAAGGAAAACACTGAAGTTGATCATGATCATGCCAAAGGAGAATGCTCATGAAGATGCGTTCTTGTGCGACTCGTGACTCAGGGATGTTACACCAGGAGGAGACACTCATGGAAGAAGACCATCCTAGAAGAAACGCTAACCAACATGCGTTCTTCGTGCAACTCTAGACTCTGACGTGTTGTGTGACGCCGGTTGTGCCAAAGGAGAATGCCAATCGATGAGTCGTGCTTCGTGGAATTAGCGAGTGGGAATCTCGACTAAGTGAACCAGCTTTGACGCCATGTGTATTTTTTAATCATAGAAAACTGTATATTAGTCACAGATGCATAGTACATATATAGTTTACAAATAACAACTATAAAGGAAATCAAATCAAATCAAGAATAAAATATTAACTCCCATGATCCCATCTAATTATATCCCTATATTGAAGGACTAAATCTTTCTAATAAAATACATTAAATATTAGTTTGACTATTCTCACAATCCTTTTCAATAAATTACTTACGAAAGTGGATGTCATGCCTGCAAAAGCACCTGCAGCGAGTCTTCCAAAAACAGAAAGCTCACCATTCTTTCCCCTGAATATTTTCTATAAATCCAAAAAAAGAAATCTAGACTTGAAAGAGAAATATTTAGCATAAAAATTTTAAGAGATAGTTAAGGGGTAACCTTGTAGTTTTCATAAGCAAAAAGCTGGACAGCACTATAAGGTATGATCCAAATCACCTGGAAGTCAAATTAAGAAATGCTAAAACAAATGAAATGACCAGTCAATATTATTTAGAGAAAAGAATACCAATAAACTCGATCAACTGCAGAGACCTGGGGGAGGCTGCCCTTCCAGTAACCCCTGATGCCTTCTTCCTTCCCTATAACTGTTATAGCCTGTAATTCATATTTGTGTTAGCTCCAATAAATAGTTAAGATAAACGTTCTCATCAGAAGAGCTAAATGCATTGAAAATATCATTGCGTTTCTGTGAGAACCCTAATCCTTAAAAGTTTATTGCTGTGTTTCTATGAGCTAAGTGCCTTCTTAGTGCATTGTTAACAATTCCCAGATAGACATGAGCAATCTACAAAATGACTGGGTATGAGTTGTTTTGTTTCTATGAGAACCCTGATCCTGCTATCTAGAACCAATGAAGACAAGAATTTAAGGATGAAGAAAGTTTCGGGTCTAGAGGGAGTTAAATGTGGCATGTAAGCAACCAGCTTATTGCGAAAACAGCAGAATAAAGATCATAAAATAATAGTAGGAAATGATGCAAACGTTAACTACCTCAATGAAACCAAATGCCTTCTTAGCACTTTCTTGCCCGACCCGTACTCCGTGAGTCTGCAAAAAAAATTATAAGCAAGGAGCAACCAAAAAGCTTTCTGATCAGCAAGGAGCATATCTCGTTGCTAAATGATAACCACATAACTTTAAAATACCCAAAAAAAAAAAAGGAAAGGAAAAGGAAAAGAAAATTGCAAGAAAAGGGTGGGGGGGAACACAAGATGTCGAGCACGAGCAAAAAAATTAGAGAGCAACAACTCATTCATATTGAATAAAGATATTATACATACCTGCAATTTCTTTCACCATGAAAACAAATTTAAGTCAATTAACTGGGAAACAAAGACTCCCGATAGTCCGATACGGAAAGTTTATATCTCAATATTTTTTAAAAAAATTCGAATTTCCACACCTTATTTACATATACCGGTCTTCATCTCCACGCTTTATTACCAAAAATTCAACTTTTGACGCCACGAGAGTTGTATCGAATTCTCGCTCACGCAGTTTCCAAATAGACCGAGTATGAGAAATGTAGTTCAGGAATTAAGAGTGCGAAGTCAGAAACAGCACCTGCATTAGGAACTTGATGCGATCCAGCGGAGCTGTGACAGTCTTCGAAGCAGCACCGGCAATGGCCCCGGCAAAGAAAAGGGCAACATCTTTGGGAACGAATGCGACGATGGCCAGCGGATGCTTCAGTAGCTGAGCCAGGGTCGGCATGAATTCTTTATCAGCTTTCCTCTCAGCTATCGAAACACAGGCGAATTTGTAATCGTCACCGCGGGAACCACGAGCGCCATAATCCGCGGTGGCGAAACTGAGGGTGGTCTTCTTCCAAAATGGCTCATTGTGGTCAGGATCAACGGCATAATTTAAAGATTTGTGAGGTTTGGAATTTTTCGCGTTGTGAGAGAGAGTTTTTCCTCTCTCATGCTTCGGTTTAGTACGAAGCACAAAGGAGATAAGCCAGTATCGGACTTGCTGAAAGTGGAGCGAAGGAAATCAACCAAGAGCGAGAAAGACCGAGAATATTATTGGGCATCATTCTAGCACGTGAGATTAGTGGTTCATTAAGGGCATGTTTGAGAGGACATGATGAAATGGGAAGGAGAATTCCCTTGTTTGGGAGTTTCGTTAATTATTATTTAAAAATAATTATAAAATTAATAAATTTGAATATGATATAATTATATTTTTTAAATTTTAAAGTAAAGGAGAGTGAAGGAGTGAGAAAGATAAAATAATTTTATAAAAATATTATTTATACCATATCATTTCATCCTTAACATCAATTAACCCCAAATCATGGGGTCAAGAAAAATAAATTTAGGATGACAAGGAACGGTTTGAAAGGCTACTTTAATTTATTCCATCCTTTTTTAAAATTTTTTTCCCAACAATGGCATAATATTTCTAGCAATCTCATTCCATTTTATCTTAAAAAAAAAACCTCAAACATTATTTAAGATATTCACTGGTTCAATGCGATTTGATTTAGTTTTGAGAAAAAAATAAGATGAAACCAAATCAATCAATTGACTATAATTTGAGATCTATTTAATTTTTTCTCTAATTGATTTGTTTCAATTTTTGACCGATTTAATTCAATTTACTTTAAGTCTAAATTAAGTTTGAATTTTTTTAATAAAATATTATTTATAATCACCAATATATGTCTATCTATGCTCACCAATAATTTTTCACTATTAACTATGAAAATCTCTTGAGGATGAAAAAAATATTTTTTTAATAATTAATTAGTATATTTAACTATCAAAAGTCAATATATTGTCTTTAAAACACTTGATTATAAAATAAAAAATTTTCTTAAACAATTATAAATAACATTTAATTAATTGTAATTTATTTTTACTAATAATTTACAAATAACTAAACTTGAAAAAGAAAAAATACTTTAACAAATTTATAAAAATATATATAATAAATATAATAAGACTTGGTTCAATTTAATTCAAGTTTTCAAATCAAAATTATTGGTTTGGTTAAAAGAAAAACTAAAGCAAACCTTGTTTATAATTGGTTTGGATCAATTCATGTTAATCCATTTTAGTTTCATTTGATATGATCGATTTAGATTGATTTTGAACACTTTTTTAATCATCACCATATGTATTTAGCCATTTTAAAAGATAAACAAAGTCTATTTCTTGTATAAAAAATTGATTTGATTGATTTAGAAATCCCAAAAGTTCAAGCTAGTGTTTCAACTCTATTCAAGATTTTAGTTTGATTTTGAAAAAAAATACAAGGTATGTATATTTTTAATTTCTATTTTTTATAGTTTGAAGTCCCTTGAATTTTGTTGTGTACCATGTTAGCTCTTACAATTATGTATATTTATATTTTTTTATCAATCATTATTTATTTTTAAAAATAAAATTTTTTTTGGGTAATAAAGAGCAAATTACAATTAAGTACTACAAGGGTTAAACATAATTATTCTAGAATAAGTCTTTGAGAAAGATAAAAACAAAGGTTTATAAATAATCTCTTGCAGGGATTGAAAGTTTGTGGATGCAACTCGCAAATCATGATGAATCGATTCCTGCTTGATCAGCATAAAACGGAAGATTTTGAGTCAAGTCTTAAATGATAGTTAATCTCTCAAATCTTCATTGTGTATCCACCATAACAATTTCTTGAAACATGACAGTGCTGTCTCCCATGTGCTATGATTTCTCTACTTCTAATAATAGAATCGCTTGATAAATTTTCCTTTCACAAAACACCTGCGCAGTAACCTACAAAAAATTTCCATTATTATTGTTCATTACCTTATGTTGCCATGAAATTTTCCATCCATGTGTCAGGGCCTCTTTTTGGGCTTGATCCTCACATATTACAAACCGGTGACAAAGAAGAGATTTACCTTCCTATATATCTTCTAGCTAGAAAGTGCAACTGAGAAAGATCAAGAAAAACTTCTTACTCTTGCCAATATGGAGATCAAATGATGGATATTACTACCATGAACAACTTAATTTTTGACATGCTGGATGGACGAGATGATAATAAATGAAGTTTTGGTAGCCTCTACCTACTATGTATTTCTTATATTTGTTTGAGCCAACCATTGCTTAAGCGATATGGAGAAGGTGGAAGAAATATTCTCAATTTTGATAGCTAGTGGACTAACAAATCAAACTGCTCTTGCCCAACCACATTTAAGGAACAAATGATCTATAGTTTTATCTACATCATTACAAAAAGGGCATAGAAATGTTCTTGAGATGTTGTTTAATGACATCTCTAACTGGGATCACAAGATTCGTAACCTTCCAAATCTACAAAAAAATTTAATATAGTAGATCAATCTTTTAGAGAATGTCCTAAATATGGGGAGGTTCTATCTCATCCTCAATGTTTCTTGCTAGTTGATATCCTTGCTTGACTGTGTAGGTTCCTATTGTATTGTTTCCAAATGATGGAGTCTTCCTTAAAAAAATAGAAAAATTCATCTAGAGTATTTTGTTACAGGTTTGTTAGGAATAAAGACAAGTAAGGGTATCTACATGCCATCCTTCTCTATTATGCTTAATCAGATTCGACACTGTCTGTATACTAGGCGGTAGAGAAGACAACATAGGTCACCATAAATAGTGGGTGAGAGGTATATTAGTACCATAGCCAATTTTCTAAGAAAGGTAAGGTTCAATCAAGTACTGAGATGTTAAGATCCCCTGCCATATCCAAGACATCCCATTACTATTACAAAATACCTCCTCCTCCTGATTACCACAAATTCTCTTTCCAAGAGTTAGAGAAATACTGTTATCATCGGTTGAATTCACCAGGTGCCAAAGATTACGAACGAGCCAGGAGAGCATTATTGAAAGGTTTAAAGAGTTGAGTACCAAGACCTTTGTGTCTTTTTGGAGTGCATAAGTCCTCCCATTTACGAAGGTGACATCTATTCTTTCCATCCTTTAACCCCCATAAAAAGTTGTTGCATATACTATCTAATTTATTGCACCACGTAGATGGCAGATGAATACAACATAGTTGGTATATTAGGGAGGAATGTGCAACAGATTAAGTAGGGTAAGTCTAGCTGCTTGTGATATAATTGACTATTCTAACTCTGAACTATTTTCTAACTCTCTTGAAAAGATCCTAATAAATGTGTGTTTTTTATTTGCTTGTATTAATGGAACCCAAGTATTTGCCTCAACGTTGGCTATATTTGACTCCTAAGGTGGTAGATAATGCATGTTTGGTAGATGCGGATGTATTTTGACTGAAGATGAGCTACGACTTGAATGTATTAATAGCTAAACTATATAGATTTTTGTAAATTCTGAGTGCCTCTTTAACTATGTCACAATTACCTTGGTTAGCCTCGCAGAAAAACTGGTATTGTCCTCATACATAAGGTGAGAGATTGCTTCGCAACCTCTTCCTAAAGTAATAGCTTCCCATGTACTTTTTAATTAAAAGTATTCAATAATTGCTGACAAAACCTAAAATAAAAAAATAAGGAGAGAAAGGATTTTCTTGCCTTAGATCTCTGGCAAGGGAAAAAGAACTTGACAACTGGCCATAATGGATATCTGGTAGGAAACTGTAGATATACATTGCATCATCATTTGAATCCAAGACATAGGAAAACCCATCCTTGTTAACACCATATGTATAAATTCCCAAGAAATGGTGTTGTATGCCTTCACAAAATTAACTTTGAAAACCATCCATACATATTTCCCTCTTCTAGTGTTAGTACTTTATGAAGAGCTTGTGAGGTGACCAAAATGTTATCTAAACTAAGTCAACCTCTTACCAAAGCACTTTGGTATGGAATTATATAATGATGCAAAGTTCCCTGAATCAATTGCACAAAACCTTAAGACCTTAGAGATAATCTTATAAGTAACATTACAGAGGCCTATAGGTCAAATCGTCCCAAAATGTCATTGTAGGAGGGGCTTTAGGAATCAGAGTAATCACCATTTTCTTGAGCTCCTGGAGTAGATGACCTGTACTTTGGAAACGATGAGCCATCATGCATAATCATCTTTGAGTAGGGACCCATTTTTATGGAAAAAACGAGTGTGGAAGCCTTCAAAACCCAATGCATTATGAGGAGGGCTTTATGCTCATATGTCAATATTGGTATGTTCATTTCTTCAAAGATTTGGAGGGCCTCATCTATATCCGTTGGCGAAGGTTGATGGAAATTAGTAGAATACATCTTATGAAAGTAAGAAACAGCATCTGCCAGGAACTCATCTGCGTCCTCTATCCAATTATGTTGTTCATCCAGAATTCTATAAATGTGTTTGCTGGCCTGCCTCTTCTTAAATGTAGCGTGAAAGAATTCCATGTTGCGATCACCTTGAATCATCCAGGTCATTTTAACTCTAAGACCATAGCATTTCTTCACAGTCATGTAGGAAGTCCAACTCATGTCTCAATTGCTTTTCAAATTCTTGGGTTAATGGATTATTCAAAGTAGCTTGTGTTCTAGTTAAAGAATGCTTAATATGTTTAATGTGGTAACCAATGGAACCAACCAAGGTTTTGTTCTAGTCACACAGGCTACGCATAATTCTTTTCAGTTTAGTTTACCACTTCGAAAGCAGGAGAACCTTCAATTACTTCATTCCTTGCAGTCGAAATAATTTGTGATGTGTGCTGGAACTTCTCCCAAAAAAATTCAAATTTTTGAAAGTTCAATGCAATCTTATTGTGGAATCTGCTGGTATTAAGAATGACGGGTGAATGATTCGAAGCAGCTACTAAAAGAGACAGGCATCTTGTATCTAGAAATTTCAAAGACCATTGTATATTATATGGAGCTTTATCTACCCTAGCCCACACATTGTCAACACCAGAGCGATTGTTGGTCCACGTAAAATGTTGCCCATAATTGGGAACCTCTGAAAGTTTGCATGAATTTAAAACATTCGCAAATCTTGACAAACCAAAGCAGCTCACATTTTTTGAGAATTTATCATCAAGTTCAAAACAATGTTTAAATCACCAATGGAGCCCAAGCAAGAATGAATCTAGAAATTCCTTTATGGGGGCATAACTAAAATTTTATTTAAAAGTGGGGACATTAAAAGTGATTTCACCGTTTTTCATAAACAATAGCACACCCATTTGTAAAAGAAATTTTGAAACATGGGGGAGTATTCGTCATTGCGCCCAAGATTTGTGATATGGTTTGCAGTATTGATCATCCAGTCCCATAAAACAACTTTTAAAGAAGTTTTTAGGAATCCATATACGCACGTTAAGTAGCAGGAAGTACCATCCATAGATATTTTAAAGTGCATCCAGTCGGGGGTTACATCTTCAACAGTACAAGAAAGTAGAGAACCATTACAGCAAGGCAAAACTAAACCCCTTTTAGTGTGATCAGAGTCAACACTACGTATTGGACTGTACCCAAAAGAAGCTAGACATTTAAAGACAACATTACACGGCAACATAATCTCCGTAAGAAAAAGTAGATCGGGTTGAAAATAAGCAAGATGTTTTTTACATCGATGAATTGCCGTCGACTTCTTGAAACCACAGCAATTCCAGCTTAAGATCTTCATGGCCCTTGGGGGTGCTTTGCATGGGTAGCCTCCCCAGACCCACTATCAGCGTTATCAGCAAGGTTGTCTCTGATTTGTAATGAGCAGAACAATCCATCTTGAACCATCTTCCTTCAAGTAGAAAACGTTGCATAAGCAAAGCTGCCATCATCAGACCAGCGTCGTTTACACATTGTACGTTTTGGAGCGTCTTCACGAGATTCTTCATGTGATCTTTGGTTCGCATCAAGAGCTACTAACATCTCCTTAGCTTTTGCAGAAGTTTCCATATCTGTTGGAGTAGAATTCACCTTTGGTGGATATCCAGCAGTATACTCATGTGCTCGACCAAGCACTTGAAGTCTACATTGTTTCAGAGCAGAATCAAGAATGCCAAAGTTTCAAAAATATGAAGAAGATTTCCTTGCAGAGGTCCTGCAGTAAGCGAATCAAAATCCACGAACTGTAAGAAAAAAAGTTTGCGCCAATCCTTCCTACATCCATTACGAGCAATGACAGGTTGCCAAGCAAGCTTTTGTGGATTTTCTAAACAGTAGATGACACAGAGACAAGCATTCAGAGGTCTGTACTTGTGCCCAATTCTGTTCCACACAAAAATGCTTGGGATGTATGAACTTTCGCATGAGAAACAAGGAAAGAAGGGATATCCAGGTTCACTTTTTTGTCCTTCATCGAAGACATGTTTGAAGTCAAAATCAATAGTCATAAGCCTTTCAAAAAGATCAACGTCAAAAATGACTTTTGCACGAACAGCATTTGAGAATACTTTATGAACATTTAAAATTACAACGTTAGTAATTTCAATAAATAAAATTAACTTCTTCAGAATTAGAGAATTTTAAAAAATACTTTTAATGAACAAAACTAAAAATTTTATGTAAAGTTAAAAGAGCAAATATGCACTTTTGCCAATTTAGCACTGTAGCAAGGATGCAGTGAAGACAAGTTCTTTACTTATATATCAAATAATTGAATAAAACATCATCCAATCAAATAACTAACAGTAATATTTATATTGTCAGTATCAATCAAAGTCTGTATAAAAATCAATCAACAAAAAAATATATATATATAATCAGTAAATACCATTAACATAAAACATACGTGTTAACCTTCAACAATCAAACGGACGCTTTTGATAAGCAAATGCTGAATGCTTAATTCTGTATTTAGAAATTGAACAACAATATAAATATGAGATTAAATAAATCATTCTTTATTCCATTATGGAATTTTTGTACAAACAATATGCAATTCAATCCATAAAATCAGAACCATCTTAAAAATTGCATAGTGTTGTATTTATAAACAAAATACTCTGCTATTTGATTCCACTTTCCATGTCCTTACCAAGAACCGCACAAATCTAAATCCAAAATTTCATTTCTAGTCTCAAGCTCAATCCAGCTACATCCTGCCATTTTCTTCAATCCAATGCTTCTCATCCTACCACGAACCTTATTAGCATCATCCCATCGTTCAGAACTTGCATAATGATTAGATAATAAAGCAAGCGTACCAACGCCAACATTTTCATCAAGGTTTCTCTTGATCCAATCCAACATCTCCTCATTGCCATGAATTTTGCAGGCTTGAAGAAGAGCCACCCAAACAGGACCCTTGGCTTCAACAGGCATGCCCTTAAGGAAAGCCTCTGCTTCCTCAAAGAGTCCTGCTCGTCCATACATGTCTAGCACGCAACAATAATGCTGCATTTGTGGTATGATGCCATAATAATCTCTCATGGCTTTGAAGAACATGATTCCTTTGTTTACTAGACCTGAATGGCTGCATGCAGACAATAGGCCAACGAAGGTCACATCATCTGGGGGAACACCATGAATCAACATGCGAGAAAAGAGCTGCACTGTGTGCTTTCCATGGCCATTCATAGCCAAGCCACAAATGAGAGTACCCCAAGAGATAATATCCTTATGTTCAAGCATGTTAAAAATCTGAATTGCTATGTTCATATCTCCACATTTAGCAAACATGTTAAGCAATGCATTTCCTACAACGGCTTCTACTACAAGGTCAGATCTTCTTTTAATGTAGGAGTAGATCCATTGGCCCAAACTCAAAGCACCTATAGACGCACATGCTGACAATACAGCGACAACTGTCACCTCATTTGGCACAGCCTCTCCTTCTAGTACCATTTTTTTAAATAAATCAACAGCCTCTTCACAACAACCTCCTTGAGCATAAGCCCCCACCATTGTTGTCCAGGAAACCACGTCTTTCTTCAACATATTAGCAAATAAGTGCTCTGCATTAACCAAAGATCCACATCTTGCATACATATCCAACATTGCATTATCAAAAACAATGTTATTATCTATCATTCTTTTCAATCCATATGCATGAATAGCTTTACCTAGTGCTAAAGCTTTCATGCAAGAACAAGCAGACAATGCACTAACAAGAGTAGCTGAATTAGGCTTTACGTCCATTGATGAAAATTTCCTGATGGCTTCTGATTCAAAACCACACTTCGAGAGGCCAGAAATTATGGATGTCCATGAAACAACGTCTGGGAAAGATATGGATTCAAATATTTTTGAGGCAGAAATGACATCATGTTCCACAAAATAGAAGTGAAGCAAGCAGTTCTGAATGAAGATATCAGAATAATGACCAGATTTAATTACATGACCATGAACTTCAAGCCCTTTTGTGTGTGCATGCAGGAAAGAACAAGCCTTGAGAGCGAGAGTGAAAGTGTAATGATTATGGGAGAATGGGAAGTAGAGCATTAAGTTGTAGAGAAGAAGGGCATTTTGTGGGCTGGATGAATTTGCAAAGACTCCCAGTAATGGATTAAATATTTGGGGCTTAGGTCTTATTATGAGCTGAGCATGTATTTGATTAAGTTGCTTGAAAGTCAAGGTGGGTAACAAAGACTTCACTGGCATGCTATGTTACAACTGTCAAAATGGGACAAATTATCTTCTTGTTCTGCAGAAAAATACACTATTCAAGGTTCTTGATTGTCTAGTGTCTGTTGCTGTCAATCTAGATTCCTTCTGATGAGAAATCCCACCAACGGATGCCATTGGCTTCCCACAATGCAAGAATTGAATTCAGGAAACCTCGCTCGTTTGAGCATCCTTCCATATTCTAGAAGTTACTTTTTCCCCGCTTGAGATGAATTCTTCATTCCTGTCTTCAAAAGTCAAAACCAAAGCTTGCATGGTTTGAAGGGGCTCTGCTGTAAAAACATGACACCCACTTTGATTCCAAAAAAGCCCGCAAACAGAACAATACAAATTTACAGAACGTGGAAGTAGAACATGCCAAATTAGATCAAGAATCTCATTATCAAATTTTCAGTTTTTAAAACTGAAAAAATTAATCTTTTAGTCCTTCAACTTTTAACTCACTTATAACTCAGTCCCTCAACTATGACTCCTCGTGACTTAGTCCCTCAACTATGATTTGCAACTCAATTCCTCAACTTTTGAATCACTTATAACTCAATCCTTATTTTTTATTTTTTAAAAAAATTATCCTCATCAAATAAGAGGGATACAAAAAATGCTCACATCTTGCTCTAAAATACCCTCCTCTTGCTCTTTGATTGTGGGATCTAAGCTAACATGAAAAAAGAGAACTAACAAAAGTTGAGAGATTGAGTCATTAACGAGTCAAAAACTGAAGAACTGAGTCATAGGCGAGTCAAAAATTGAGAGATTGAGTCGCAATAAATTATAGTTGAAGGACAGAATTACAAGTGAGTTAAAAATTGAAGAACTAAAAATCAATTTTCCCTTTAAAACCAAAGTAATTATTGAACTAGTACAAGCATTGGTTCATGATTTGCCAATTAATGGAGAAGTGAAAAAAGGTTTCAGTTTTTTCCTGTTGTAAAAAAATAAAATAATGGTTTAGTACATCTGAGATATAAGTCAGCCCAAAAGTTATGCCATCCTCACTTAAGTCAGGTTGAAAATGACCCACAATTACAGATCGTAAAAAGACATTGCTTCCATGAGAACACAACCTAAAAAGGAAATGAAATAAGACAAAGAAACTAGCTTACTGCTCAGGCTTAATCATTGATCAGCCCACAAGTGTAAAAGAACAGAAGCTTAGGATAGTTTACCACAACCATGATAGTCCCAGAGTTTGTCATCTTTAAGCAACTCTGAAAGTGCTGAGAAGAATTCAAGTTGGTAAACAAATCATATTTCTTCATTAACTTTCTCTGGCTTTTCTGATATCTCATCAAGTGAGAGAAGTATGAACCACCAATACGGGTATGAGTATTGGCTACAATACAGCATGATACATGGATACGGCAATTTCCAAAAATTTAAGAGACAAGTATGGCTATAGAAATAATTAAATATTAAATATTTAGATACACACGCATATTTTCATAATTTCATGTATAAAGTCAAAAATAATACAATGCAATAAGCAGTTAAGCAACTAAGCAATATCAAATGAAAAAAAGATAATAATCAACTCAAATTAATTATTATGTGCTTCATTGACACCACTACTTTCTCCTATAAGTTCTCTCCCCAAATTTGGCTCATCTAGAGACAAATTTGCAACTTCAAGACTTCCAACATCATCTATTTCCCAACAATCTCCACTGATTTCCTACAATCTACTTTCTCCAATGGAACACTTCTCACTCTTTCTTGAAAGAAGACAAATATTTTAATGAACAAAAACTAACTTTTCTTACTCTTTCTTGAAAGAGAGATCCTCAACAAATGAAATTTAACTCTAAAATAAGAGCCATTATATTGCTTATTACAATAGTTATGCTTCCAAGTTCTATTTCCACCTCCCCTTTATTTTCTCAAGGTACCAAAGTCACATAAGCCCACAAAGGAACACCCTCTTTCGGTCTTTCATTACTAGATTAATACCAAGAATTCACATTCCTTGAGCTACTACCTTATTTAGAATTAGAAGCCGATGCCGATCTAATTTATATAGAAAAATTGTGAACAATTTCCTACAATTTTAATATGAGGAGAGCTAACAAAAATTTAAAACAAAACAAGTGTTCAACTGTGCAGGGGGCAAACAGAGCACCATAACAGTCACACTCAAACATCTAAATCTAAAAACTAAAAATATATTATCTAAATGCCCATAATAGTAAATCAGTAACCAAGCCATTGAAATGAAAAAAAAAATTATTAAATCAGTAACATTAACATAACATACAGGACACAGCCAATTTCGCTAGGCTCAGCAGATAAGACAGGATTGAACTAAGAGAACGGCTATTCCTATCATCAAGAAAGTCGGCTTCATCAATAAATTACTTGACCCTAACATAGCTGAATAACCTCAAAAAGCATCCTTTAAAGCAGGGTCCGCCTCAAGGCAATAAGAATACTTACTATATAAATAAATATAAAGCATAAAGAGCCACTCATTCAAATTGAAGAGACGGTGTAGAACGGAACCTCTAGCCTTGTGCATATGCATATAAAATAAGGAAACGAAACTCAGCAACACGGGTGGGTGCATATGAGAAGAAGAAGAAGACTAAATCGTGGGAGAAGAAGACGCCAAAACTGTGACTAAGGAGGCGCCACCGGCGGCAATGGAGGAGAGACATAGTGACATGACGGATTTGGCCTTAGGGGTAGAGACGAAGAATGAAAGGGGAGGATCGACGAAGCAAAATCGGGCCTCAGTTTTAAAAAAAAAAAAAACGGCAGAACTTGGTCAGTGCCTCAGTGGGCATCGAATTACCCAAATCCTTTGACTAAGATATTTGAGAATGAGTCATATATGACAAATTTAGGATACTTTAGTTAGATTATGTCATACCAAATACTGGAATTCTTACATGTTTCGAATGTTATACCCAAATTGACATACTTCAAATATGATTGCCAACAAGTCTAGGCCTCAAATGTATTATTCCAATGCAGCAAACCTATCTCCTAAAGACATAAAATACAATCATCGCATTATGAGGAGTCTGTACTTCGCAATAGGTAAGGGATAAACGAGAAAGTGGCAGAATTGAAAAGTGCAAGGCAGAAATATTTCTGAGCATTTCAAATGCGAATCAATATGGAGAGGTTCTTGGTTGAAATTCAAAAAAAAAAAAAAGACATTTCTAATGATCAATACTCTTGACAGTGCTAAAAATTGCACCTGCTTATGAACGAAGCCCTACTGAGATCCCAAAGTACACAAACAATAAGGGAAAGTAAAGTAAATGAAAGGCTTCGTTCGAAGGCTTCAAAGCATACCTGACACGCTCTCCTTGGCTCTTCATTTTCGTCTTGGAGGCGCTTACGAGTTGATGGAGCTGAGAAAAATCAGAACGGCGCGAACGAAACCCTGAACCGAGGGATTTTATAGATTGTTTCACAGAGCAAACCAGAACCCCTTCGCAATATGGAGCTCGACGATCGGAAATAGAAGCCGGAGATCTCTCGAGTTCGCTGTCGCAGAAGTTCATCTGGCGGGAAGAAGAAATGAACGGCTGAAGGAGTGATCGCATGTTTTTTAGGGTTTTTTTTAATGTTTTTATTATTTTAAAGGCATCTTTATCATTTTATAATTTATATTTAATTAAAAAAATGAAAAAAAAAATTCTTGACAATATTCCTACGTACCAAATTATTTTTAAAACCTTTACCATTGATCCCAGTCTCATTTTCAATTCTTCAAAACTAAGACCTGCGTCAATCAGAGCCTTAGCTTCCACAAAAATAATGCATGACTGCCAACTAATGTCAAGGATGATAATGATAGAGCCAGAGCAAGGGTATTTTCTAATTTCTAACAGCATATTTTCAATCGGGGATTCCAGTAACAGCATATTTCAGTAAATTAATAACTAACAGCATATTTTTCAGATTGGAACAAAGCTTCAAAGAGGAAAACCGAAGAAACAAACAAAGAGGAAAGAGAAAGGTACCCGGGGGGGGGGGGAGGAGGAGGAAGGACCTGATTACCTGAACTTCCAGTCGACGATGGGCTGACTGCAATGAGGTCTGAGCTTCGAACTTCGCTTCGCTTAGTGTGAGACTTTGAGTGGGCAGACTGCAGGTAGGGGATGCTCTCGCTTCGCCGTGAGAGGCTGAGGACAGACAGGCAAGGGCAGGACGAATCAGACGAGTGGCGATGGCAAAAGGCAACTACGCAAGGCGGCTACTCGAGAACTTGGAGAGACGGCGAGGGAAAATTATTGATGAATCAATCGAGTATTAATTACCTGGAGAAAAGAGTGCCACCGAGCATCTGTATTCTCTGGTAACACAAGTCTTGGAATGTGCTTTCCAACCAGATTGAACGGCGTATTTCTTTCAATCCTTCCCGCACTTCCATTTCTTCTCGCCGTGTTTGCTAGAGCAGTGTTTCTTAATCCCCGTGAGGTCAACAGAACTCTCGAAGGGTAATGAGGGACTCATGGTGGCTGGGGAACTGCATACAGATAAACGCAAGCCTCTCTCACTGGGTCCCATAATTTTTTATGAAAAAATTAAGATTGTTTATGTGGTGTAATATGAATTCAAATATTATTGTTTTAATACCATCCAAGTTAAAAATTATAGCTATAATTATGATTGTAATTGTAAATAAAATTAAAAGATAAAAAATAACTAAGCAGTCGCTATTCAATTATAAGTTTTGGTAAAAATATAACTTGAGATATAAAGAAGTACAAGGACAAATCAAACAATTTCTTTTTTTTCTCAGAGGGGAGGACCCCCAAACCAGGCCAAGCGTCACAACTAAGTTGGCCCAATTTCGGTCCTTTTTAAAGAATTGGCCCAATCAAGCTCAACTCAAAGTGACTGGACCCAATGCAAGTGGCCAAACCAAGCTGATGAACACTCCTAAAGCCGATGCCTCCAGCCCTCACATTTCGGAGCTGCCATCCCAAGAAAAATAGGCTACCTTCAAAGTCTTGATTCTTAGGAACTACAACGCACCAAATAAATAAGTAAACCAAAGCGTAATAGATTAAATAGATCTAATCTAAAATGCTGAGTTTTGAGAATATGATAAAATAAACGTGATATCGAAAACCATTAGTTTAAACAATTCTGAAACATCATTCGAACAGTTTATGGCCTATTTTGTAAAGAACATTACAGAAAGGCTTAGGTAATCCAGATTTCAAACCAAATGGATGGTTTGAGCTGCATCAACAATGGATCTGCCAACTAGGCAGTGTCCGTTGCTGGCTGTGTAACCCCAGACTTCACCAAAAGCTTAGTCAGCGTCTCAGGCGAGCAAACTTGATACTTAACCTTTCCAGAAGGTGACAGGAAAACCTCAGCTAATTCGAGCTTATCTGATGTCAAACTTGTGCTGTCCATAGTTTTACTGAGTACTTTAAGAGCAAGTTGCACAGCTTCTTCCCTTGTGATATCATCCTTGTAATCTTGTTTAAGTATTGATTGAGCTGCCTGATTGTTCGCACCAATAGCTGCAGCTTTCCAACCACCATAATTTCCACTAGGGTCACTCATGTAAAGTTGAAAACCAAAATTTTTGTCCCATCCTGCAAAAAGGAATGAGACTCCAAATGGCCGAAGACCACCAAATTGTGTGTACCCTTGTTTAGTATCACAGAGGGATTGAACCAATTGTTCTACTGGCATAGGCTCTTGGTAAGCATAAGTATAGCGTTGTGCTTGGACCCTAGCAGTATTGATTAGGATATTGGCATCCGACATTATACCAGCCACAGCACAAGCAACATGATCATCAATCTTATACATCTTCTCCGTTGAGGTTGAGGTTTGCAGAAGCTTAGATGTTACCTTTTTCTCACCAACCAAGACAACCCCATCTTTTGATAAGATCCCTATGGCAGTACCTGCGTTGCCAATGGCCTCCATTGCATACTCAACTTGGTAAAGACGACCTTCAGGGGAGAAGATGGTTGTACGGCTATCATATCTTCGAGACATATTGATATCTGGCAATTAATTCAAAGCAAAAGGAGAAATATAGGAATTAAAAATATTTCCTTGTAAACGGATCTTAGGTTAACATTAAAAAAATTGATATATCTATATGATATACTGTCAGCTAAGGGGAAAAAAGTTATAAACTGAATTAAAAAGTTATAGCAAGAAAAACACAGCATTAAAAAAATGCTACTATGAAGTCTCCCGACCCTTCTTCTGGGCAAACATCAGTCCTAACTCTAAGAGTCAATAAAAATTCATCAGAGATAGACAGAAAATCATTTTACTGAAGCACAAGGCTTAATCACACTATAAATACAAGCAACACCAAGAAAGTAGAGGATAGATGTTCATGGTTAAAGATCAAGGAAAATAATTCAGGTCAAGCTAGAGAAACTAAAAGCACTGACAAATCAGAGCCACCCAACCTCAATATTTTTAATGTGGATTTACACAAAAAGAAATTTAAAGACTCCATAAACCAAATGAGTCTAAGAAACATACACATCTAAAAAAGTTCAGGAATAACGCCTGAGATTATGAATGTTTGTTTAAACTTAAGAGCTGCCGGTATTCATGAGTACTGAGACTTTATAAATAAAAAATACCTTAATTCGAGGTCAACCAAATTAAATGATAATAGGAATTTAATGGTAAAAGAATATAAAGGCACTGCTTAGATGTAATTGGAAGGCTAAGAAAATAAGACAAGATAAAATCTTGACAGTGGTTTAAAATCAATCTTATTGAACAAGACCCAATAACAGGGATCTGGCAGGGTGAGAGCTTAACAATTTCTTGTAACAAGAATCTACATATGCTAGCTTCCTAACCCAACAAAACCCGACTCCAAAGAAGACTCCCTGTACAGGGCATAACAAGTCAATTCAAGAGGGATGGTCAACCATTGTTTAGACAAGCAAACATGCAATGCAAAGGAAGTAAAGGATCAAAATGGAGCTCTTGTTCAAGCAATATTTTCTGAGTGTCTTGAATGAAACCTCCCTAGGGTTACCCTAAGGAGAATAGCCATCCTTTGTTATGATTCAAACAGAGATCCCTGGGGAAATACAAGGTCATAAACTTCAAGTCTTCAACTCCTTTTCATCAAAAGATCACAATTCTGCTTCTCAATCTTAAGGAAGAAGAAAGCGATGGTGGAAGCACTCAAGCAAGATTTCAAAAAACTACTTCAATTATTCAAGTCTTTCAGTATCAATACCATGGCTGAAGCCACTGGAGGAAGCTGGATCTGGCTTCTTAAAGTCCCATCCCTCTTAAATAAGTTGTTATAGAAAAGGTCCAAAAGGACCCAACTATTACATATGATTAAAAGAAAGTTGCATCCTGCGGAATCACAATCTAAAGGAAATGAAAGAAGATAAAGAAAGAAGCTTATAACTCATGATTAATCTTTTACAAACACATTAGTGAAAACAGAAATTTAACAGTTCACTAAAACCATTCCAGTCGCAGAGTTGGTTAGCATTAACTACTATGTAAGTTCTGCTAATGAAACTAATAAAATTTTACTTTAAAAGTGTTCAGTGATCGAGGAAGAATTCAAGAAGGTAAGCAAATGATCCCTCTCTATTAACTCTTTCAGTTTTCCTGATTCTCATCAAGGGTAAAGCTTGGTCGAGCCTCGAATATCTTGTTCCAACGCGGTAAACCCATCTCCTTAAGACAATATTTGCCTTGAAAACTTCTAAGAAATGGCTCTACTAGTCTACATTACACTCAGGTTCCACAAATTTGACCTTTCCCATCTACCAGTTACATTATCCCAGGAGCTCAATCAGGTAACATGAACAAAAACGAAAACATCCATAGTACAGGCACAATAATCCAACGACATGAAAATTACAGGACTTCAGCAATATCGAAAAATAAAATGAAAAACCTACAAAGCTCTAGGTTCTAGCAAACCCCACAGCAAGATTGAAAAATAAACGAAATTTGCAAAAATTCTCGATTACACTTACCAGAAAATTGTTAACTAACGACAAACACAACCACAGGATTATAATAAAAGATGATCGACAACGAAGCAGAAGAAAGTCGAAAGCTTCCTCGTCTGAGATGGGAAATGATCGCCCCGGAAGGAGCAACAACTAGGCAACTCTGTTTTCCACTTTACGCCTACGACACATTTGTAAAAACGATATTTAAGGACCATCTGAAAATATTAATTATTTTCAAATTTTGAAATTAAAACAAAATGTCATGTGAGAATTGAAATTTTGAATGTTAATTTTTCAGTATTTATCTTTCAGATTTTTTAGCACTCGTTTTTTTCTAATTTTTAGTAAACATTTTTCATTAGATTTAGTAGTCAATTTTGTAATTTATTGGTAGTAATAGCTTATACTTGCAATATTATTTTTATATTGTCAATACTGCAAAAAAAAATTAAAGATAAGTATTAAAAACATAAAAAATTGAAATTAAAAACATTTGTGATAACTATTCAAAAATTAAAAGCCTAAATATTGGAAATGTAAAAATGAGAATTAAAAATGTAATAAATAAATATAAAAAGATTAAAGTATTTTTTTAATTCTCTAACTTTATATAAGGTTTTAATTTGATTCTTTAATTTTGTAAAGTATCTTTTTAATCCTCTAACCTTAAAATTATTTGTTGCAAATAATTTTGTATGTGTCAATCTTTATTATTTTTTTTTAAAATTAAACTTAATATATTAATATTTGATAATGTTTTGTTAATATTTAAAAATTTTATGTAAAAATTTATTGTGATAAAATTAATAATACTAAAATTAAAGAATTAAAAAAATATTTTATAAATTTAAGAAATTAAAATAAAATATTGTGTAAAAATCATGTTTTTTAATTTAAAATTATAATAGAATCAAAAGCTTGTTTGAAACTTTTTGTTTTATATTTTAAAAATTAACATTTTATAGAACATGTCTTGAAAATAAAATAATAATAAAAAATATTTTTTGCATTTTTTTATTTTCAATAACAATAGTTTCAAAGTACTTAAAATATTTTTTCATTTTTCTATTTTTTAAAAGAATATTTAGTTTTTTTATTTTTTAAAATCTTTTTTAAAAACACGTCAAATAATTTTTTTGGTTTTTGGCTTAAAAAAAATATTTTTAAAAGAGGTTGCCACACAAGTTCTAACATTCTTGGAAGCTCATTAGATACAATTTTCTCTATTCTGTTCTAAGAAACAATTCCAGGGAGGTATAGTTTTTGTTTGATAAGATGAGATATTTAATTAGTCAAATATTATGTTTTGTTAGTAAAATAAAATAATTAACGGCAAAAGGTTATCCTTACCAAAAGATTCTGTTTGGTTTTTAGAAAAGAATAAAATAAATTAAATTAAAAAATCAAGACAACAATAAAGTAAATTACTCTTTCCTTTATAACAAACCTAATAAAATTCATTAATATATACTTTAAATGTAAAAATTATTATACCCTCTAAAAATTTTATGAATTATAATTTCCAACTTCATAAATAAAATTATCTCTTATCTTTATAATTATGTTCACATATTTTATTTGATCATTTTATTTTTATCTTTATTTTTTTAATCTATTATATTTCACTCTTTTCTATCAGGAAAACGAATTTAAAAGTTTCAGAGAAGTCCTTTTGTCAAGTTTTAAAGATCAAAACAATCATTTCCAATAACTTTTTTTATTTATTTCAGTAGCTGAACTATCAAATGATTTAGGGCTTGTTTGGTTGTTGTTGTTTTCATTTTTTTTTTCAAAAGTTGTTTTATAAAACAATTTTAAAAACTGCTTTTGAGAACAAATAAAGAAAAACTTGTTTGGTAATAGTAATCCAAAAACAGTTTTATAAATTTGTGAGATAGGTGATTCTTTTTTATCAGGACAAAGATACAACGTTTGCCATTAATGGAACAATTCTCATTTCTTGTTTCCTGCTTTTTCTCTGTGAAACTTAAAAAAAAAAAAAGAATAGAAACAGCTAAAAATTGTTTTGGTTTTCTTGTACTTAAAAACAAAAAATTAAAAACTGTTTTCAAGACAAAAATTAAAGAATCATTAACCAAACAAGTTTTTTGTTTTAAAAATATTAAAATAAAAAAACAGTTTTTAAGAAGAGTAAATAAATAGGCTCTTAATAATTCGTTTTCAGTTTTTGTTTCATAATCAATTATCACCCAAATTTTTTGCCGCTTCAAGAGATTCAGCAAAGCTCAAGAATGTAGACTGTAGGGATCAAAATGAATAAAGCTTCAAAACTTGGTATAGAACGCCGAAGAACAACTTTCAATTATTGAGATCTGATACATAGCAATACATGAGGCAAACACCCCTTAGATATATATATAGATACAACCCTGTGATAATATAAAGATGAAAATTAATATCACGCCAACCAAATACTAGCTCGAGGGGATCTCTACACAGCCCGCAATGAAGTAGCTCCTCGCAAAGCAATTCTATCTAGAGACAATGAAAGATACGAATTGGAATCAAAGAATAACCAATCCATTGAATCTGTTGTGAGTTTAGATTCTGCTTTTCCCTTCACCTCATCCTCAAGGAGGCAATCCAAAGAGATCACCATGAGCCTGCTATCAAATTCCTCCATTGAGATCCACATTGCGGAATGGGACATATAGGACAAGACTCAAATAAAAGAAAATGATAGAATAATGTAAATTGTTTGTGTGAGTTGAAGAGTCACATTGATAATAATGACTACTTACGGTAAAGAACATGGACTTACCACAAATTAAGCTGTGAAAACTGCATCGGTTGTTGATTTAGGTACCATGTTTCCAAGATGAGCTTGGTCTGTCGCAGAAATGAGATTAAATTTTAGATATAAATTACTGTTTAGATTCCGAATAGCTTGAGGTATCAAGGAGATTTATGAGACCTTTCTTTTCATCAACCATTTTCTGATCTAAAAAACAACTTTAACTCGTTGAGTTCATCAACATCTTTACTGATTCAATGGGATATATATCCTTTCACTCTTTCCTTACACATAGCACCAACCAACATTTACTTCTAATCATGCACAAGAAAGGCATAGGCTAATGAAACTTACTGAATGGTGATCTCTGCAGAAAAAAGCATGTCCCAATGACAACGTAGCAGAGCAGGAGAATAAAACCTTTCATGTAATGGGACGTTCCATCCTATTCAAATTTCAGAGAGAAGAAGAATCAGTTTGAATATTCAAAAGATAGAATGAGATTAAAAGAGTCAAAACATGAGAGTAACTTTTACCTGTAAAGTGAAGGCAGTTGCTATAATGGCCAAAGCAAGTGAACCCGTTTCAATGACGTTGAAGTTAAGATCCATTTTGTTGCCCATTATCCAAGAAACAATCACACAAAAGGGAACCTACATTGTGATCACATTTCTCTGTCTTTTACCAACCCACGAAGGAAATCTGAATGAAAAAACTTCATTAATTTATGTATGTAGGTGAATTCTTACCACAAACAAGCTAATTTGAGTTGCAGAGCCCAAAGCAACACCCAAAGAGATGTCCTATAAAGCCATGAATTGCAAATAGGTTAGAGTTTAGAACCTTATCTTAAAATTGAGGTTGGAATTTCCCAAAGTCTTCAAGTTCTTACCAGCTTGTTCTTGAAAGCAAAAATGATTGCTCCTGCATGTTCAGCTGCATTGCCCACTATTGGTAGTAAAATTATGCTGAGGAAGCTGACAGACAGACCCCACGAGTCTGACGCATCCTGTTCAGAGAAGGAATCGTAGTTATCAGTAATTACAATAGCCAAGACTCAAAAAGTGCTAAATCATGGATAAAATGTACAGCTTTCAGCCATATTATTAGGTGGGTCTGTCCACTACTTGATCCTTTATTATGTTGAAAGATCATTCCAGATGCTCTTGAAGATAGCACAAAACATGACCCATGTGGGACTTAAATGTTTCACATTTCCTCTCTCTCACATGCATGGGGTTGAGGTCATTCCTACCTAACACGTCTCCATTCAAAAGATGCCTAATATAATCATGCATTTTAGAACAAATTCAAAATGATGTTTAATTACCTCTATCGTCTTTACCACATACTCAGACAACAATGCTATGATCACAGTCATCCCTACCAGCCAGGCAAACCCACTCCAGAATCCTATCACTGCCGCTTCTTCTGAAACATTGTCGCTATCTTGGTCCTCCTGAGATGACTATTTCTGGTTAGATATTGCCATAACAGTACATCTTAGAATAACAGGCAGCTTCATATATATTTCATAGTTTAGGAAGTCGATCGCTTACATCCGGGGCTTCGAATAATTGGCGATGTGTCCAGAGTTGAAATATAAGGTAAGCAAAATATGCAACCAGCATGACAATACTTGCAGCTCTTGATAATTGGAGAGATGGGTCTGAAGCGAGAGCAGTTGAGGAAGTAGCATATCTGAATAACATTGGCAGCAAGTGGCACAATAATGCCAGCAGAAGCATGAGTGAGTTCACGTCTGCTTGTCTCTGCAAAATAATAGATAACCAAAACACACATTTCAATGGTTACCATAAGTTATTGTCATCATTTCACCAGGTCTAAGAAAAATGAGTGCTTTTTCCCCTACCCTAAATAACCTACATTCTCTGATTAAAAAAAAAAAAAAGCCCTTAAAAGATGCAGTTAATTGTCACATTTTTACTGTTATATTTATAAAGCTAAAATGGGATGCATGGACTTACTCTGTCATATTTTTGTGGCTGTGAAAGGTTTGCTATGCCACCACAGAAAAGAGAGGTTCCAAGGACTAAGAGAAGGTTTGAAAGGATGGAACCTAAGAGAGAATACTTGACCACAGCTATTTTGTTGTTGTTGAGAGCAAATATTGCTATTATCAGCTCTGTCGCATTTCCGCATGTCGCATTCAGAAGCCCTCCCACTGTAAATCAGCAACATAGAGGACCAATTTCAATAATTTTGACACTATATTTACTAGTACTTTCCAAAACAATGATAATCAGTCGCACCCAAAATATGTTAGAGCATTGCTTTGCTAATGCTAATTTTTTCGTGGATTTGGAGGCAACCTTCTTTTTTTTTTTTCCTTTTATTTCTAATCCTGCGGATTCATTGATTTGACAAATTCCAAAAACATGGTATTAGATAAAATGTGATGACCAAAAAAAAAAACCGAAATAATGACAAACGCTTCACCTTATTTAGTTTGTGAATTAATTTTTACGAAAATAAAGTTGTGAACAAAAATAAAAATAAATAGAATGAAATAATATTCAGTATATTATAAAAATTCAACTTTTTAGAATTTGGTAGAATGAAAATAATAGCAAAATAGAAAGAAAAATTATTAAATAACCATAATAATCCCATATATACTCTTAACTAAAAATATATTAAATAATTTCTAAATATTTTTTTATAAAAATTGAAATGTTGATTTATGTTTTTCTCATTTATAAAAATTAAAGTTATATATAAGAAAATAATAATTGTTTTTAAATTAATTTTTGGTCGAGAACTCAATTTGTTGAAAATTATCTTCATTTTTTCTCTTTAAAAGAAGGAACGAGATTTTCGGCTAAAAAATATATATATATATATATATATATATATATGGATTGCCTGCTGCTGCTGCCACACGAATTTGTGATAACTAACAAATGATGAAATGACGAGAACTTCAAACACTGCCCTGGAATCGTACTAGTAATTTCTATCGTCTGGAGTACATAAATGAACAAATTGAGCTCTAAATTATCGGTCCTTGTCTCCATTGTACATTTATTTTTGGGTACCGTATTCTTTTTCAATAATCTGATTTCTATGATTAATAAAAACTAACTTTAATCATTAGGCCAAAAAATACCAGAAAAATATTAAAAATTATAAAAAATAACTCAAAAATTATAGAAAAGAATAAAAAAATTTATTGGTCCATTTTGGTATTTTTTTAATTAATAAATGATCAAAATTTTTTATTAATAGTAAGGATTCGATTATGATATTTTCAAATGTTAAAAGAAAAAATTATACAAAAAATAAGTTTAGAATTATAGACACTTCTAAATATATAGCTTAAGAGTTAATTTTTTTACCTTACATAATACTTTATATATATATATAATAGTTTTTGACATTTCTACCATCTATTATAGGTAAGAGTGCATGTACTAATAAAAATTTAAGGGTGGATAGTATATTTTCTATCCAGAATTCTTTTTGAAAACATATTAAATACTAATTAATTATAAATAAAAATTTGTATTATTAAGATTTATATTTAAGAAAAAGTAAAAATCAAGACTTATTTTGAGAGACTGAAGAAGGATTAGATTTAATTATATTTCAAGAAGGATCATACCTGTGGGGCCTGTGTAATAAGCAACTTGCCTGCGCATGATAATTATGGAACAGAAAATTAAATATAATCAGCATTAATTCCATGCAGAGATATTAGACATTGAATGAAGAGAATAATAAAAAATTGATGGAATTTATTTCCTTACTCAGTCAGGAAGCTGATTCGTTCAGCAAGGGGTGTAAGTCCTAGCAAGCTCAACGCAAAAACCCAGGGCTGCAGATAGTGAGCCATAAAACTAGCAAATTACTACAAGTATCATTTTCATGTGCAAATTACTAAATATTAATTCCAGCAGATTTTCAATACCCAGCATACTTGCCATTCATTTCTGGCAAACAAAAAAAAAAAAAGCATAATTGCCATTCATCAAAATCCTAAGATACCCCATCAGTATTAAATTAAATTTTTTATACGTTGTATATATTATTGGAATTGTAAAAGAGGCACGCTTCACGAAGTTTCAATATGATGGTGCCTGTTTGAATAAATTTAATACTTAATTTTAGAATTCAAAGCCATGGTTTTTAATATTTTCAAACACTCCATTCTTTTCGTGTCATTTATTGTTGTATCAGGTTGTGTTATGTACTACTCCAATTCTTAATATAATACAGAGTTAACCAACTTCAAGCTTATTGAAAAAAGGCAGTTATATTCTTGAAATTATTAAAAGACATATAATTTTAATTTTATCTTTTTTGCAATTAATAACCATAATAAATTATATTCTGGAAATTCAAATAACAATAAATAAATTAAGGGATAAAATTAAAAAAAACAGTAATTGCTCTTTGTCTAATATTAAGAATTAAAATTTTTTCCCCAAGTTTGGTCTTATATTAAAAGTAGAGGGAGTATATATTTGTATATGTATATCTATAAAAGTATATAATATCAAATATTTAAGACTGTTTTTCTCTAAGACGGATATATATATATATATATATATATATATATTTGGCATGTAATTAGACTTCCATCCAAGAGCTCTTGTGCTCTCGCGTGATTAAGCGGTTAGCCTTATAATAATAAGACAACTATAGTTTTCAATATAGTATTAAATTTCAAGTAATACTGATTGAACTGGTAAATCATTTAACCAGTGCGTCGAGAAATTTAATGATATATTTTGGTTATAATCGGTATGAGCATAATTCAACACGCAATGAGGCAAATCATTATTTTGCCATGATTGGAATGAAATCCGTGAGAATCCATTTCATTACCGGTTTTCAACCCTCCCATTACATCCGTCCGCCTGCAAAACAAAACCTAAAAATGCCGTGATGATGATTCAACAAGGAAAAGCAACAGGAGTACTCACTTGTGAGAATCCATAGCAATCAGCAGCAATGGCGAGAGGAATCGCAGGGAAAAGGACGGAAAGCTTAGTCCCCAGAATGACCTCTTGCAGATTGGCCAGCAAATTTCGGAGCAAGGCGCAGCGAACTTTGGAGACAAGCCTGGGGTCAGATTTCTTGCGCAAGGAGGAAGAGGACATTTTGCGAGCGGAACGGCCATGCCTCATGATCTCCTTTCCGGCCGATAATCCCTTGAAGTTTCCGTTCTCCATGAGCCTGATTGCTTCTTGGTGAGACGCCATTTTCAAGCTTCTTGGTTGGTTTCAGAGAAAGAAAAGACTGAGAAGAGTGAGTGGAAGATTGGCTGTTTTGTTATTGTTGAAGAAGGCGGGAGAGGCTTGCATGTATTTCCCGTGACTCTCGAGGTAGGAGGAGCTGGGGGCGTACCGTGATGTGTGCCATGTACTCAAGTTATATACGCGACGAAGTGTGCAGCTTCGAGGAAGCTTCCTATTATTTGAACTTATTTTTTTTACTAAAAAAATTAATTTTAATCCGCACAATTTTTATTTTAAATTTAATTTAATTTTAATAATTCAAAACTTTTAATTATCATAATATTCTGTGATGCATTTTATCTATTATATAGTTACAGTCTTGCAGAATGATCTTCCTATGGTACAGAACTTGTGAGTTTGTGAACTGTGTACAACAACTTTGGAGGGATGTATAATGCATTAACATCACTTATTATTATTATTATTATTATTATTATTATTATTAAATCGTCAGTGACAGATGCATTTTCATCAACTATAGTAAGGGTTCAAAGCTTGATATTTTTATATTAAAAATAATCATTAAATTAATTTATACCCGTACCTTATACACACACACGCTCCAATCTCCATTCTCATGGCAATTAATTGAGGGTGATATTGAAAAGTAAAAACTAATTTTTAAATATAAAATATATAGATTTTTGTTTTTTTGTTGTTGCGTTTTTTAAAAATAATTAGGACTTAAATCAATCAAGCAGATGGAGGAAGTATATAAATGGCAATCATTGAAACACTGAAAGCTATTGAACACTTCGAAGGAAGCTTTGAAACACTTGAAGACCACAAAAGGCCTTGTACGGACTCAATATTGGCTCCAAAATCATTCTTCAAAGAAACAAAGACAGATACTCCATTGGGAAGTCCAAATATGCCACAGAACCGCAATATTAAGATTTGAAACAATTAAAAAAATTAAATTTAGGAAAAATGATAATTAGGGATTCTATAAAAACATTAAAAACCCAAAATTATTAACATTTTAATAACAAACCATGATTCTCACTTGCAATAAATTATCTTTAGTTGCTTAACTTGAAATTCACTACAAACTTGTATAAATTTTCAACTAATGCTACAAAGACTTCCAAGTATTTTTTATTGATTTTCCACGTGATAGCAAAAAATCACGAGTAATTAGCTTGTGATACACAATTGATTCATGTAAATTCTCAACTAATGTTACAAGTAATTTCAAGTGTAGTTTGTAAATTTCTCAGGTGAATTATATATATGTTGACAACAAAAATTTACAAGTGATTTTTGTGATTCACAAACTTTTAACTAACATTATAAATAATCTCAAATGTATTTTCTTTATTTCTATTTGTATGTTGATAGCAAAAAATTAAGATTTACAATTGATTCTCGTACATTTTCAACTATCATTACAAATAATCTCAAGTTTATTTTGTTTATTTTCTAGATGACTATTCACATTCTTTAATTGCAAGTAAGGACCATCAATTATTATTAAAATTTTAATAATTTAAAATTTGTAAATATCATTAATATTTTTATATGGAATTCTTAATTTTCATTTTTCCAAAAATTTACTTGTTATAAAAATTACTCTTGGTTAAAGGTTAAAACTATAAATTTTATAAGAAAAAATATGACTTTGGGTCCCTGCATTTTGTTCAAGTTTTATTATAAGTTTTTACATTTTTTTTAATATTTTACATCCCTACACTTTTATTTTTATATATTTCAAGTCTCTTTAGAATACTGAAAAATAAAAATATAAAAACCTACAATGCATAAAAAAAGTGCATAGAGCTATAGCAGAACTCGAGTAAAGTGTAAGGACCTAAAGTCATGTTTTTTCATAAATGATAATATATTTAAAATTATAATTTATGAATGATATGATGTATTGTTTAAATTTCATGCCAATTATTATATGAAAGCTTATCTAAAGTCGGATATGCTTTCACTTATTTTGTGAGCTTATCAGGAAGTCAGAAAACGTACGTATGTATAGTACGGCATTCGTAGGAAGCTTCCTGGAAATCGAGGGGAGTCAGGAGAAACAAACATGCATGGCACGCAAAATAAGGGGAAAATTACCCAACTCAAATCCTAAAATTATTGATTTAAATACTTCAAACATTATATTATCATTATTTGTAAAAGCGGAAGATTATTTAAATGTATATGTTTCTCTTAAAAAGGACAATCAAAATACACGAAACTATAGCTTCGATATCCTGATAGTGCCATCATAAGTGATAGACAAAAGCGAGGAAGACAATGATAAAAAAGAAATTAAGGAAGAGTAATTCATTATAATCGATTAAAGATTGAATGATGAACATTAAACTCTGAAGACCAATATCGTTCATATTGAGTTAATCATTAAGTCTACAGAAATAATAGAGCTATCCGAACAAATTTTTAACACAACATCATACAGAAACTTGATACTCCCTCCCATTCTATTGTAAGGCAAAGAGAAGAATTTTGTTCAGTCTCATTCATAAATCACATTATTGAATTTTCATTATAAACTTTTCATTTTATCTTTCATGAAATGTTAAAAAAAAATATTATTAAAATATACATATTTAATAAGGTTAAAATTAAAAATTTATTAAATTTTTAGGTAGAATTAATAAGATTTAAAATTATCATTGATATCAATAAAACATATTAAAATTGAATTAATTTAAGACATCTACTCTAACGACACTATTCATTGAATAGTTACCTAGAAAAAATATCTTGTAGAATGAAGTACATGACCTTGTACAGCCACCTCAGCACAAATATTGGAAAGGAGAAAGAAGCTTTAATTTGAGTGGGAAGAATTGAACCGTGGCCTATATATGCGCACGTGTGTTTAAACACACACACACACACACTAATGATTTTGAGAGGCCTGCCCAGTTTCACTTCACAATCACAAGGACCACGACGTGGTGTTGCTCAATTCCTCAAGGTACGTACTCTTCTCTGTGGTTCACTTTAAAGTCTTTTAGGAATTGCCTTGGTCTTCACTTTATGTTTGGCTTACATTGCACCATGACTAAGTTGTTAAAAATCACTCTATTTTCTCGTCCAAAAAATTAAAATCCACTCTTTCATGATTTTTCTCCCATATTTTACCATTATCTTGCGTGTTGGGTGGAAATTAGGTACATTTCATTTCATATGGTTTATTTTATGGATTTTAAGCTAATAAATTTATCAAAAAAAAGCAGAAAAATTTGAAATTAAGTTCGATTTCAAATTAAATATTGCTCTAGAATTAGTTCCCCTTACATTGTTTTTTATATCATTTCAGCACCGGCGAAATAAGTCACTCCCAATCTTTAATAGAAGCTTAATCAAAACAAAAATAGACCAAAATTAAGTATTAGTGATAAAATCTCTTCAACAAATATTTTTTTGTCGGGCCAAACATAAAATTTACAAAAATTGTATTACTCGCATAAAGTGTGTATATGTTAAATATATTTTTTGAGAGGTTGTATATTTAAAAATGTAAGATATTTTAAGTATTTCAATGTGTAATTATTGTATTTTTTTCAAAAAAAGTTCATAATAAATAAATCATATAATATTTATTTTAAAGTAAGATATTATATTAAATAGAAATAAGTATGAAAAGATGATTGAGGTGAGATTCAATTAAAAATAATTTACATTTTTCAATGGTAGAAGTGTATATATTCTGTCCATTATGTATTATAAGACATTTCTAATAATGAGTTAGTTAATTTTTTTTCAAATTATGCACTATTAATATGCCTATCCTTATTATTTAATAAGACACCTCAATTTGAAAACGTTATTAATTACACTCTTTAATTAATAATATTTTTAAAAAAATCTTGTGAATTGTATTTGAAAAATGTAAAATATTTTATATTTTTAAATATATTAAAAAATACTTTATAATATTGAAGAGAGAGGGAGGAGGAGGAGGGGACATGAAGTTACTAAACAGAAAGGAGCTTGGATACAAGCTTCGTAAGTTGTATATAAATGAGGAATATATGGCTGCAAAATCTCCATCGAACGTCTGTCTGAACAAATGATCAAATGCTCTCTATATTTTATTATACTTTCTTTGTCGAATTATGTTGTAGATATGCTTGAATTGAATTCATATGCATTTAATATTTTTTTAAAATTAAAATGGAATGTTTGGGTTCAGTGTGTTTAAATTTTTCTGCCTGTCTCTACTCTATTATTCTTTTTTTTTTTTTTTATCTGTGCAGATCCTATAATACATCACATGATCTGTCAGCAACGTATGGTTGGATTTGTCGAAGCATCCAACAGTGAAAGAGTGAGTTGTTATTATATTTTAATCGTGTTTTTATTTTTAATTTCTGCGTCGTTATTTTTTCCCCATTAGATTCATCCACAATGTTAATCATTTTAATTTTAAAAAATAATCATAAAGATATGAGCTGGTCCAAACGATATTTATTCTGTTGATGTTGAGTTTTTGATATGTATACAGAAATATTGATCTTACATTACTTTAAAAGTCTAACTCCAAACCAAAATCAAATGAGTATTAAATGTCTCCGAGTCTTTTACTGATAAAAAAGCAGCCGTCCTAGTCTCACCAAAAAGACAATGACAAGTAAGGATTACTTTCATCTGAACCCTCCCATTTCTATTTTTCCAGCCGAGATTTCAATATCTCTAATCCCAGTGTTATTTTTCCAATACTTCAACCTTTGAAAAATTGAAACTTGGAAGTTACCTATATAGTTATATTACTGATCATGAATGTTCTCAATATATTGTTTTGAGTAATAAAAATTATATGAGGATTTAAAAAATAATAATTGTAATATAGTAATTTATAGGACCACAACGTCCCATTCGGTCATTACTAGGCCATGTCAAATAGTTCCTAGACTGACATTCGGCGTGGCCGGCGCCTGGATGCCTCCCCATTGGTGTTGAATTATATATGTGTATTTTTCAAAAATGACAATTAATCATGATTACTGAATAAATAGAATTCGAGAAATCAATCATACTGAATTAGATGATTCCAGAAAGGGAAAAACTTATATATTTATCTTTCTATATTTAAAATATTTATTTTTAACTAAATTAAGACATGTATATTTTGTATGTATTATTTAATTT